GAAAAAGAAAAGAATCATGCATGCAATCGACTTTGATGTCATGCAATTGCAACACGCTTTAGTCAAAGTCTTTGTCCTCCTCAGACGTGCATAATGATAATTATGAGTACCACGGTCCACAACAGTAAGCTGACAACACTCAACTAGCTGACGATCCCCAAATTTGTGATCTGGCTGTCAATCAAGCACATGCCGGCCGAGCATCATGCCGGCTTGACTTGACTCAGTTGCAGGCCTTGTGTCATACACATAAGTACGTGTCATGGCAGACCAGATACAAGTCGAAAATAATGACTACCGGGTGCGCCCTTATAATTCACCAAGGAAAAATACATATGAACCGGTCAACAATCGTCCAACAGTCCTTTTCTTGTACACAGTAACGCCTTCTTTAACCGTACAGTTCATCGAAAGGTGATGATCTAGGTGCCATCGCTGAAGGAGTCCAACAGTCCTTGCTTGTAAGGCCTTCTTGAACCGCACAGTTCATTGAAAGGTGATGATAGGTGCATGCCATCGCTAAAGGGATGTTGTGCACTTAGCTGTATCCCCACCACAGCAAACAAGAGGACTCCCGAGCACCTTCCATGATCAGTTGCGTCCACAGCATGTGCACATTGACGGAACCATGCTATAAAAAGACATCACAGCACAATTGGTGCTAAAAAAGCGACGACGTCTTGAAATGTTCCTCTTCCGAGTTCGGTGTCAAGTAGCAAGAACAAACGGTCCACTACACTGGAAAGTTGAATCACAGAAAGCCAATCGAGCGAGCGTAATAGCATTCGAACGACGTCTACACGTCATCGGCATCAGCGTCCTTTTCGTCTTGCTCCTCTTTCCTCTCCGGCTCCACGGCTTCTTGCTCCTCCTGTAAAACAATAAGATACAAGACTTTGCGTGACGGTGACTCTTGTTTTAGTTAGTCGTCACCACACAACGGCAGATCAAAGCAGCAACATATGAAGGGACGTTTGCACAACATGATATCGTATGCAGAAGAATTTCGAACATGCTTCGTGGTTCCTTCTAGGACGGTCCTAATTTCGCGAATCAGACGCACACGATTAGAACACAGCAGCAAAAACCTCAGCCCTCCTGCCTCGTGTCAACATTAAGCCCCAACTCCTCGCACAACTTGTTACAAAGAGGCTCCTTGAACAATCTCAAACCATCCTCAACCAATCTAGAATAAAGAGCGAGGCGGGTCCAGGAAATGCCGGCCTCTAAAAAAGGGCGTGTACCCCATGTGACTTTCGGCGACAATTCCAGGTAACGGGCATCCACTCTTATGTGGCTGCGAATCGATCCACATGACTTCTGCGAGCGACTGCAAACATCGAGTCCCTGGGCATTTGGTCGCCGTGTGCTATACGTCCCACGACGTCCTCTTAAATCTCTCCGCTTCTGGAAACCAGTCAGTAAGCACATTAGCTGTGACAGACAAAGAAGCACCTAACCACTCACCTCTGCAAGCGGCTCCTCCACGTAGTCGTCATCGAACGCATCGCCGGGTACTTCGTACAGCCTGGCAAGAGGAGCAAATATGACATCAGCAATGACCAAGTGGCAGATATGAAAGAATCTCTGGGGAAGCACGACTCTGGCGCATCAAGCTGAAAAACGTGGCACCATACGGCCTGGGCACCATCGGCCTGCAGACTTGACTCGATTGCGAGCAAGTAGGTCAAGCAAGAAAAAGTTGGACTCGACGATCTGCACTATCATCTTCTGCGACAACAAGGAGCATAACCGACACGACATCGTTGAATACTCCCTCAAGCAAGTCCGCAATTGACCCTTCGTAAAGAGCGTCTCTGCTTCTTCTCCGCAGGTCAAGATGGGGTCAGGAGGACAATCGCGCAAGATCAGACAGGAGCGGAACAATACATTGGAGCCGCACCTGATGAGCGGCTTGTTCAGTTCCTTGACGAGAACCGCAGGTCAAAAGGGGTCAAGATAGGCGGTTGCACGGAACCAGTAGGGAAACGGAGCCGGAACAAAAGCAAGCCGCACCTGATGAGGGGCTTGTTGGGGTCCTTGACGAGGAGGTACTTGCCCTCGTCGAGCTTCATGCAGATCTCGACAAGGCTCTTGAGGATGCCCCACATGTTGTTCACGTTCAGGTTGATCTGCGCCGCAAACTCCTTGGGCTTGTACCCCTGGACTCCCAGGATGACGTGGTTGTAGTGGTCGCGAGGGGCAACGCGCGACACAAACCCAAGCTTCATCTGCAGGACAACAAGAAGGTGAAAGTGTGAGTCACGTTTGCGGCCCGTTTGAACTGCGGTGACGAAAGCACGGAGTAGACACGTGAAAAATGGAGGGCCATGGAATGATCGCGCAGCACGAAAGCGAGCTTCTTCTGCAGAAGGACAAGGAGGAGGAAAAACGTTGTGTTCGCGGCTCGTTTGCTTGGGGTGAAGCAGCAAACAGTAGTCAGGTAGTTCGAACGACGAACAGGGTCGTCAACCCAGGTTCTTGCATTACTGTGAGGAAGGAGGCAAATCGGTCGAATATTTTTTGCCCTGCATGATTGCATTGTCAATGCCCCGGACATTCGTGCAGCTCGCCCGCGGACTCTGTAAAGCGGATCAACACAGTCGTATATTGCGACCATTTGCAGATGAGGCCCGCCTGCTACGGCATGGAATCTGACGGGAATCGCAAAGACAAAAGCCGGATCAGCGTCCTTCTTCGCAATGCGTCAGAGCTCCAAACCGCTGCTCAAAGGCTAACACAAACAGTAACGCCAGGCGCGGACGAGTTCCAGAAGTGGGCTCACCATGCCAGCGCCTGCCAGCAGAGCCTGGGACGTCCACTTGGCGAGCTTGTTGGCGTTGTTCTTCAACTCCGTCGCCAAGACCTGCGGAAAATCGCTTCAACGTCACACTTGCGTCCATGGCAAGCCACAGAAGCTGATCCTGACGGCGCAGCGTGCAAAACATCTTCTGACATGCGCTGCTTCCGATGCCAGGACTCCCGTTGCTCTTCGTCACCAATCAAAGCAAGACTAGCAAACAAAACAGGTCTGCTTTTCAAGAGCTCCCACAGGGCGGGCTTGACCAGATCACAGCACTGTCCACTGTCCTTATCAGAAGACCCAAATAACACCTTCTTGCTTGTCACAGATGCAACAGACAAAACCCTCATGCTTAAGCTCAAGCATTCGTAAAGCGACCAAACATTTGTCTTGGATTCAGCTCCCAGTCTCCAGACACAGTATTTTTCCTGGAGTTGCTTTCCTCTTGACAACCATTCGCTTCATGAAGGCAATCACACAAGCGGACGCTCCACTCACCGCCCCTCGCTGGTTGTCGAGCTTCTGGCGCCAGTCCACGCCCGTGATCTTGGAGTCGAACTCGTTGAGCGCCTTGACGATCATGAGCGTCTCCTCTCCCTTGATCTCGGCGATACTGTCGATCTCGCACCGTGCCACCAGCACGTTCTTGTCGTCCAACTTCCACTTGCGGTACCGGTATGCGCACGACGCGAGCTCCTGGTTCTGGGCGGCGAACGGGTTGGGCTCCTGGAACTTGTACTTCTTGCCGTCCTGGATGAAGGAGGCGAAGTACCGGATTATAAGCAGATATTCCAGGTTCGCAGATTTGCAAGAACGCCAAGGAAAAAAAACTGGTCAAGTCAAAGGTATTATCGTCCTTGGAACCCCTGGCAAACTGGAAACGAATACTAGTCCTGGAACTCTTACTTTAAGTGGTCCTAGACGGAACCGGCGGTAAGGTACGTCAAACTGCACTCTGATGTTGTAATTAAGCCGCACAAGTCTCTTACATTCTTTGTGCCACTGTAGGCGATGTAAGGCATTTGAGTAGGGATATCTTACCTTGACGACGACCTGCTGCGAGAAGTTTTGGTTGATGAAGGTGGCCTCCTGGCTGAGCGAGTGGACCGCGTTGATGTTGTCCTTCTCCTCGGGGATGGGCTCCTGCGCGGTCTCGCTCACCTGCAGCAATCAAGGCAAGCCGCAGCCAGACTCATCAGAAAGTACGCGTCGGAACGAACGAGGCAAATCGCTGGGTTTCATTTCAACACGAAGAAGGAGGCTCCACAAATCATGAAACACAATTGCACGTATACCATGTGATGTCTCGACACTTGATTGAAACCCCAAAATGAACTTGGGTGAGGGACACATGTGCGGCATAGAAGGAGGAGCCGAACAGCCGAAAGGGGCTGTGACAGCGACAGCAGGAGGATGCAAGCAGCAGCTATTTACTGACGAAAGGGAAAGAAAGGGGAGATGAGAAAGTGGTGGTCACGTACTGTGAGAAGGTCGAACGAGTTGTCCCTTTTGTCGAAGAAGAGCTTGTCCCCGACCCTCTGGACCACGACGTCCCAGCCGTAGACGGAGCGCGGGGCGCACATGAGCGTCGCCAGGATGGCGTCGGTGGCAAAGACGGTGCCGGCGTCCTCGTTTGCAAGGCGCCTGCAGAAACGGCGGACAAAGGTCGTCAGCAGAAGTGTGGTATCGGTCGTTGACAGCATGAAGGGTCGGCATTCGAAAAAGTGTATTCAATGCAAAGACAGCCCCGGCAGCAGTGACTGCCAGCACTTGCAGGAGGTGGGCATAATTCCGCTGGTCTGCTGGCAGCCCCCACACACATGGGAGCACGAAACGCTCCTCAAGCACGCTATTGGGCTCGCATCAAAATGGCCGACCGTCGCGTATCTAAAAAAGCATCGCAGGAGATGTCTGGAGACCGTGTGATTGCATCAGAGAAAAAGGCGATTCAAAATGGCAGATCGAAAGTCCTACCTGAAGAGCTCGTCCATTTGAGGGACTGCCCGCAAGTCGCAAAAAGCAACATCTGCTCTCCATAGGTCGAATCCACATGACCCAGCTCCTCTTTCCTTTACCCACGAACATCAAATTGAAAGAGCAAGCCAAATGAAAAGCTAAAAGCGGAATCAGACACTCACTGGATGACGGGATCTTCCGTAGTGGTGACCTTGAAGAATTGCCGGCTCTCATAGCGCAGGAGCGGCTTCTCCTGCTTGGGAGTTAACCGATCGTACACCCGATCGTACCACTCAACCGCCCCGCACGTGGTGCTGCAATCATCACGAAGTGGTTATTAGACGGGCTTTCTGGACGTACCCTAGTGAGGAAACAAAGGCTTGGTTCAGGGTCCTACTGAGTATCGTAGTCTTCACCAGCAAGAACTGGAGCTCACAACACGTCATGAATAAGAGTGCAATATGGGGGGGCTCCGTACTAATCCCGCATCGAAAATGAAGGCACCACATTCCTCCGGTCGGAGATCGCAGCAGCGGGCCTACTTGGTGAATCTTTGTCAAGTTGTGAATCTTCATCAAGTCGTAGCAAAGCTGAATGACTACTTTCAAAAATGAAATGTGCATCCTCTTCTTTTGAGCTGCCTCACATGTCCTCCGCTTCCCCAGCGTCGAAGTGCAGCTTCGTGAGGGCGGTCAGCGGAATCTGCTCCAGGACGCTCCATTCTGGCCGGATGTCAACCTGTGAGCAGCCAAGGCAAATCAAAATACTGGAAGCTTCACGTAACCGCGCTCAATACGCATGAGACGGTGCATACGAGAGTGCCCTTGAATGCTTGAATCCTTGACTTGTGGCTGCGTGAATTCCAAGAACATTGACGCCTTCAATGAAACCTCCCAGATGCATGCAGTGCTACTACGGCATATCGAAGACGCAGCACGGACTCGGAGGCATGGAAGTACGTAAAACCCAACAATGACAAGATTGAAGCATGGTTGAAGCCCAACATAGCTGAATGTCCTGGCACAAAAAGCATCCTCCGGATTGCACAAAACACAATCTGCCAGGGACAGCTTTCCTGGAGATGACGCGCTGCGCTTGGAATGACTGAGACGAGTATGATGTCCAAGGGAGTCTGGTTCTCTAGTGCACGTTGAGTACAGGCCTTGGGCTGGCAAAACTGACCCACCTTCTCCCAGCTTAGACATGCAGATCTGCAGGCCCAATCAATGACGAAAACAAGAAAAGGTCGATTACAAAAGTGGACCACAAGCGGGACGCCAGCAAGGCTATAACCATCCTACAGCGTCAAGCGCTCACCGAGCTGTTATACGTGACCCGCGGTGCATTCCTGTCCTGCCAGTAATTGTTCCACTGCCCCTTCTTCTGCTGTGCTTTTTGCTGGCGTTGCCTCTCCCGGTCCGCCTCACGCCCGCCATCCCTCCGCTGCTCCTGGTCCCTCCGGTTCTGTTGGAACCGATTCTGCAGTGACGTCCAACCACAGCTCAGACCCCTGACCGTAATCCTTTCCGATTCGTGCCTCATTGTACCTCATTCTCGCCCCTCAGCCCCTACTCTATCCTTGAGGCCACTTCCGAGCGTTCTGCCTGTACGCTTGGGACTGTTTTCTATCGAACTCTGGCTGCTTATTTCATCGACCCGAAGCGATCTAGATGCGAAGGCACGAAGCTTGAGTGTTCTGCAACTTTGAAAGATATTGAATCTAGGTCTCACATCACCTGTTGGAGGCATGCCAATCCTATCCTGCCGCAAAGGCGTCACGGACACTGTCGAGCAAGACCTTGACACACCAAAGTGAATGCAGACAATATGTAAGTGGATGCTACTCAAGAGGGCAAAGAGGAAGATTGATGGGCCCACGGCGACAAGGAAGCGGAATGCCGCCCATTTGCATAAAGGAGACCCATGCAGCAGAGCGAAGGCGAAAAAACTGTTGCACACCCCACCACTTGCGCTCAAAGAAGTACGCCCCATGATAAGTTTCATCAAGCATTGCAACTCCAGACAAATGAAATTTCTGATAGTGCCAAAAAGGACTCTGAGGAGCGATCCGGCAAAAGGAAACATTCAGATCGGATGCAACGGGCCAATCAAATGATAACAGTCCTGGTAATGGTGTGGGTGTGGCCTAAATTACCTGAAACCTCCGCTGTCCATATCTTGGCCTGGGCGCCGGTTTGCTGTCCACTAGGTGAAAGTTGTCCTGCAAAAAACCACCAGCACTTGCTTGAAACCTAGCAAGGGGCAACCTTCACCAGAACTCTTCTGTCAAAGCTTCCGCAAGCTTTGTCCCTGACTAATCAGTTTGCAACTTTGAAATTATGCACGCAAAAAGAGGTTAAAGGAAGCAATTGTGGCCAAACACGCCGATGCAAAGGATGGGCGGCCAGTCATGCAGTACACCTCAGAATCTAGCAACCAAAATCTTAAAAGAAGCGTGAATCATCTGATTGCGTCACAGCACTGACCTCATCCTCATAGACGTAATTGAAAAGCGTGATACCCGTGCCATCTCGCTGACCATACCGTCCTGCAAAGAAGAACGATGGTGAGTGGTGACTTCTTAGTTGGCAAAAGTTCAGGCACTTATAAAAAGCAGACCTTTAGAGGGTGGTCCTACCAAGCTACGTCAACCAGCGTCCTTACATGAAACGTACCTATTCAACCGATGCAGCTGTTGAAAGGGTTTCAGGAAACCAGCGTAAACTCCATGGAAGCGTGCAGTTCGAATGCAAGGACCAACTCTAACAGACCTATGTGGAACACGTACCCTGCTGATACTTGTAGCTCTGGCCCGTCCAGTCGGAAGCCTTTCCTACTCGGTCTCCCTTGTTGAAAGGAGCATATGGGACATCCTTGTACTGATCGGGTATTGTCGTTGGGCCCCACCCGTCCTGATTGTTGCTCAGATCCGGAATACTAAAATGCAGTGCAGCACCCGGCATGGTTCCTGCCAATGCAACGAGCTCAGCATGCGATGGACACCACTGGGCCTTCTCCTTCAAGCTCCCTCCAAGTTCAAACCGATACTCCTCTCCAGTCCTGCGCTTCTTCCTATCGACCTCCCTAGCTTCGCTAGCTGCTTTGTTGCTTTGCTGCTCTGCTGAGCTTTGAATTTGCTGTTGAGCTGACTTGGTGGGTTATGCTCACGGTTTACTTCAAACGGGACTCTTTAGATGTTTCCATACTTTCCGCCGACCAACACTGCATGGACCAACAACCCCGTCCTTTTACATTGTCCCGGAGGATTTTCCCTGGACCAAATATCAGGTATGATTGGATGGTGTAGGGGCCCCGGCTCTGCCATCACCGAGAAGCTAAAGCAGGCCGTTTTGCCCGGGTGAAATATATCTTACAGGTTGCTGCGTCGTAAACCGGACTGCTCTGACCAGCTGTGGCAGCTGCTGCATCATTTCCATGGTGGTGCCAGGTGAGGCTGAATCTCTCAGATTGAATCTGAAGGCCAAGCCCCCATGTTGCTTGGCAATGCATTGTGCTTGTAACCAGCTGGGTAGCTGGGTCCAGGACAAGCCATCATTGCGAAGCCGGGCAGAAGAAGTACGCCGAGGATGTCTCGATGGGGCACAACAGATCGCAGTTGCCGTGGGCAAACAATTAGCTTTCCATGATCACTGCTTACATCAAATACGAAGGGCGTCCCCACCTGTCCTGAAACATTGCTACTTTTGTGACCTAGTGCGCAGTGAATATTGATCTGGCGGTGGTGATCTCAGTTCCAGAGCTACGTATGCACGCCCTCTTCAAAGATCATGGCAGATTGCTGGTGAGACACAATGTTCCATCATGCCAGCTTTCCTCCCTTCTGGCATCAGGGAGATTTGTTCATGCAATGTTTCCGAGTCTCACCGTGATGATGTGTGGTTTATAAACCACGAGTCAATTCCTGGTCGTGAGAGAACAGCGGATCGTAAACGAAGGGTGGAGGTTTTTTAGAGTGATTATTGACAAAATATGAATGTTTGCCGAGCTGGAATATTGTACCAGCATTTGAGCAATTTGACCATAGAGATCCTTGCTTTCAACTCCTTGAATTGATTGCCCTATGCAGTACTTATGCCCTTTGCCCCCCTGCATCAAAGGGTCTCTACATCATGTTTTTGGATGATGCTGCAGTCTGTGAAGATAGAATATTGTCTTAAACTTCTATTTTCTGAATTCTAGCTTCTAACTTCTAACTTCTAACTTCTAACAGAACATCAAACTAAAGCCCCCATCTTTCCTGGCAGAGTCTGAGAGGCTCTGAGGAGAATACTTGAAACTTGCTGCACAATGGATCAAAGATTCGTGGTGACATACACAAGACACAAGACGAAGAAAAGCAAGACATATCAGGTAAGGGACTTCTTTTCAAAGTTGTTCACGTTGAAAGTATTCTCTATGCATCCAGTCAACCTGAGCGTTGAAAGAGTGTCCAGTAGATGTGCAACTTCCTTCTTACCACCTTGACCATAAGACCTCAACAACAATTTTCAACGCTCATGCAGGATGGGGAACTCAAACTTGTACGTCAAGGTCTTGCCTGGAAGGTGAGGCTATGTACAGCATGAACGTTCCCCTTATCTGTTAAGTCCAATCTATTTGTAAATCCACCAGCATTTGAGCCCAGTCACAAAAGGAGCTTCAATCCTTAGTGCATCTTCTCCTTATTCGCGTGCACTATTCATACTAAGTGGTAGGCCTTTCAGAACTGAAATCAACCTGATGGCCTGTCCTTAACCTTGCAGGCCATCCTCTTTGACGATGGCGGAACCATGTTGCAGGAGATGTCAGTCAAAGATGTTGGTTCAATTTCTGAAGACAATGACATAGAGTTCCCAGGCTTCCTTGTGAGGGTAGATAGTGAGGTACAATGTGCCATTAACAACTGCAGTACAGGAAGACCTTCTGCCTGCGAGTCCTCAATTCCAAGTCAAACAAGAAAAAATTTCGCAAAAAGGCCTGCTTTCACCAATCCGAGAAGGAAGGACGTAAACTTAGAGATCCAGATATCCAGCCAACCTCACATGGCAAAGCCTCCAGAATGTAGAAGGGGTGAGTACTTTTCACGTGCTAGGATCACTGCAATTTGAGACTCTGTTTCATTTTTGAGCTGAGTGGGTGAAGGAGCTTTTAAAATCTTGTTGCAGTCTGCTTTTGCAAGTATGTCGATGGATCCCTAGTGCATTGAAGAATGCACCAATGCTTAATGCCTTGCCGTCTCGTCTGCAGCTTCAGATATTCTGTCCCTGCTTCGAGGACCCAGGACAATTAATAGAGGGGACGACAAGGTTTCAAGCCCCCTCAACAGAAATGAAGCAGATTCCGCTCAAACCCCCGTGGTTCACAGGGCCACGTCTGAGATGCGTTTAGGCAGTGCTCAGTATGCAGCCGGTCCGCTAAAGTCCACATGGGTGCCATTACACCATAGTGTTCACTTAGTCAAGAGCTCAGCAAACAAGCAGCAGGGGTCAAAGATAGTTCAGTCGCGGAAATTTGTAACCCCCCGACCCTTAACAAAAGGAGTGGAAACAACGGCTGGTCTCGGCAAGCGGTCTATTCCTGGAGGGACAGCGCAAGACCGAACCATTCCGGGTAGAAGCAATCCTGGGCTGTTCGTTTTCGTGGGAGACAGCAACCCGCCTCAGAGTCGCCAGAAGGCGATTGCAGATTCATACCTTCAGTTCCTCGACTACAAATGCGCTTTGATGGAAGCTCTGATCGAAGAGATCAACCTTCAGGTATGTTCTCATGACACGGTCGTGTACTGCGGGTGTCGTGGACGTTCAGAGGGTTTTGCAGCTTACGTGCGTGTCAAACGGACGCTTCTACACGAAACGACGAGCTACTTTCTGGCAAGAAGTGAAGCCTGCTAGATTCTGCGTAAGGCCCTGAACATCTATCCATTGTGGCGCAGATCGGGCAGTTAGCCCGGAGCTTCTTTGACGGGCGCAAAGAAGCCCTCCTCGTTGTTGATACGAGGACCCCGTGTTGCAAGCATGGTCCTGCACAACTACGCTTTGTTGGCAAGGAAGGGCCGAACAAGGGCCGTCCATTCTACTCTTGTCCGGACAAGAATCAGGACAAGTGTCTCTTCCAGTGGGCGGATCAGAAATCACAGCAATCGAGAAATGAGAACGGTGAGTTTGCTGGCCTATCTGGCCATCCCACGTTTAACCACCTTGGAGCTTGTGAGTGTCACTTATCGGTCCTTCTGAAGAATTCAGAACCAGTGCTTTGGCAATGTTTGATTGAGTTTTCTACCTTGCAGTCATCGACGAAGGCACCCCAGACCTTGACCCCGCTGTCCTGGCAAGTGCTCTGCGGTCTCGAGGCGTCTTCTTCCATCAGGACGTGCAGCTGTCTCAAAAGTGAGTCCTCACCTGCCGAGAAAGACATGCGAAGATGCAGGGCACTTATGAAGAACATTGTAGGGCGCTACCTGGAAGACTCAGTACGAGCTATCTCAAGTCACCTTTCTCGAATTCGAATTAAGTATGATGCTGCTTTTTGCTTTTCGGTCATGCAGGCCCTGCTCGTTTTCAAACAAGAGGAAGGCCTACGACGAGGTCGAGCCGTCCAAGCCCGCCGTTTTCCAGCTGCAGATCGACAAGGTGGCTAAGGCCGGCAAGATGAAGGAAGAATTCTCCATGTAAGTCTGACGACGTGACCAAACGTTTCGCTGTAGCATCGGCCTCTTCTTGCAGATCTTTTATCTCCTAGTTTTGCTAGCTCTGAAGATAATGGTTCCGTCAGGCTTTCGCTCTCGTTTTCGCTCTTCGCCTTCGCTCCTTCGAATGACGTAGCAGCCCCGACATTCTGGCCTGGACTAATAGCTTCAGCTCTTTGCGCAGAGACGATATCTGGGTCGTGAGCTCCAACCCTCGCTTTACTTGTCATGAGCGGTAAGCAAACGGATTGTGGAGCTCTCGATTACGGTCTGCATTCTCAATCCACGATCGCCGGCGAAGTGGTACGAACTGTTTTGCACTTCCCAATGCGTTTGGTGCCTGCGAGTTTGAAGCACTACATTAATATTGCGTTTACTTATCGTCTGCGATCTCGTACAGGATGGACTTCGTCGCGGTTGCAACAAGCACATTCCATGGCCCGTCGAGTACAGGGCATGTAGAGGTACGCAGTAGAGGTGACGTCTTGGGATTGTCTCATGTTTTTTCGAGCGGGCATGTTAGCTTTTTTTCTCCCTAGTTCTTGGTACTGTCAGCAAAAAGGGTCTCTCTCATATCGTTTCGAGCGGGCACGCTATCTTGTTTTTCTTCCTGGTAGCTTCCTCAGCACAAGGATAATTTGGCGCCGTACAGGTGAAATTCCACGGACAGAAGCCTCCCGCCGACATGGATCAACCGGTGTTTGCGCTGCATGGAGCTTCCATACAAACAGAGCTGGCCATGCTAGAGACCGTCAAGTGAGCGAGTGTGCTTCGTTTGATTCTGTCAAGCTGTCGATCAGACATACGGTTCGAAAGCATGTCTTTGAGAGTGTATTCCTTATCCAGACGAAATACGTCGCTTGTTTCACAGCACGTAGGATCGGCCGCCACCGACACTTCTATAGAACTTCGAAAGATCCTGCTCGCTTGTCTCTTGTGCAGATCTCTGCAGCCTAGTAGCTTTCCTCTACTTCCGCTAATGTGGAAAGCTCCCGCGGGTCCTGATACCTCAGGGGACGCTCCGTCCAAGGGAGGAGAGGCGGCAATGCTTGCGTTGCGGACCGTCGAAAGGTTTCGACTGAACGAAGATCAGGTACTGTGCAAGTTTTTCCGACTGTTGCGCAAAAGATAGATGGGAACAGGGCCACTTTTGTGCTTAGTTGCTCCGAATCAGCAAAGCAGAGTTCATCCACGAGGAAACAACGAATCACACTCAGTTCGGATTGGACAGAAATTTCAGTGCACCTCTTTGCTCACCTCCACTCGCTGATGTACAGGCGGCGGTGCTTCGAAGATGTGCTTCCTGGTACGACAGGGATCAGTTGACAGGGGATTCACGGAAGGCGTTCAATCCGGCTCTCTGCTTGGTGCACGGGACATTCGGGTCAGGAAAGAGTAAGTAATCTGGCTTATAGAGGAAGTTGCTTCGAATCCCACATGCTGCTTGGTTGCCTGGCGAGTCTTGATCACCAGATTTACCATTCTAGCAGAGGTATCTGATAATCTTGGCCCTCGTTCCTCGCAGGTACTCTCCTCGTGGCTCTGATCTTCTTTCTGGTAGAGCTCTTCGAGGTCAGTCAGCCATCCCCAAGATTGCTGCCAGCACTTGCGGTCGATGCAGGACCTCTAAGCATTGAATCATAACTCTCGAACTTGTAGTAACGTGTCTTTCTCGTGGTGTTTTGGAGGACCTGATCTAATCAACCTTTTATCACGCAGATGACGAACGACACAACGAGCCGGATACTGGTTTCTGCTGCCACCAACGTTGCAGTGGACAGGTACGATAAACACGTAAACTTAGACGTAAGCTGCCAGCGATGCTAATCTGAGCCGATCTATGCTCAAGCCTTGTTAATATAGCAGACAACTATCTGTTAAGATTTCTGATCGACCAGAATTAGAAGGACGTCGGACGCTATTGCAAGTTTACACAAAGTCAAAGGTGCCATACTCCTTTTGCGTGCTCCGCTCTCATCCGAGGAACCGGTATTGCCAGTCCCTCACTTAGTGCAAACGTGCCTGCATTTGCAGGATACTGCTTGGACTCCTGAAGCATGGTTTCAATCGCTTTGTCCGTGTTGGTTCGAGGAACTTTGCACCGGCCCTGAAAGAGTGAGGCATTCTTCCTGGAAGCACTTGCATGTGTCTATCTGTTGCAGCCCTTCTGTGAGCGCACAAGAGACTGACGCGTGCAGTTCAACGTGCGAAATCTGCAAAAGTAGAACTGCTTTGTCTCGTAGCCTTTCTCCAACTTTTGTCTTATTCTTGGACACCTGGTGAGGTAGGTACACTCTGCACAATGACACGGAGGAGGAAAAGGAGATCATGGACGAAAGGAAGAGCCTTCGAAAGGAGGAAGGAGTCGCTTTGGGTGGAAGGAGGGTAAGTGGAGCAGATGACTTGTCACGTGCACCCCAAACGCCTGAGTTGAAATTTGGCTTCATTCTTGCCTTCGTTCTGCTCCTTGACCGAAAGCTGCCTCCTTGTCTTTCTGCCTTTCACACTCGCCGTCTAACTTGCAGGTGCGCGAAGAGATCAAGGAGCTTGACGCCAAGCTTCGAGTAGCTCGCCGGAAGAGACTAGAGGACGCATTGGTTGTTGGGGTGACATGCTTCTCAAGCTCTCACGATGTGTTGAAAGGGATGACTTACAAGGTGAGCGCTGAACGAGCTTCGACGTCAGCTCTTTTGAGACCTGCCTGACGTCTTGTCTTAAGTCTGCAGCGAGAGAGGGTGCAGTAAATGTTGCGAACTTACAACCGTGCTTTCAGAGATCTAGCTGAGCAACTTCCGAGGTATTTTATGCTCAGGCTACCATTGTCGGTATTAAGTATAGAAAAATTGAGCCAAGAAGTGCGCTGCTGACCCAAACACGTTTTTCAGGTCTGCCTCCTCGACGAGTGCTCCCAGATGCCGGAGCCGCTCAGCCTGATGCCGCTTGCCATCCTAGGATGCGAAAAGTAAGCCCAATTCTCTGCAGCTTGGCCAGAAGGTTGCTGATGATTGAGTTACAAATCGAGACTTCAGTCCCTCCTCACACTTCCCGATTGCCATCTAGAAAGTTGTCTGCTTGTGTTTTGTGGTCTCCTTTCCCGTCGGCGCTCTGCTGTAGTCGGCACTTGGACCCGTAAGTTAATGCCAAGGTCTGTCTTTCTGTTCCAGACTCGTGGCCGTTGGGGATCCGGCCCAGCTGCCCCCGCAGCTCACTGGCAGCAGTTCTGCTAGCAAGGAAGATGACATAGAGGCTGGATTGCAGAAGAGCGGCAGCGGGCATGGCTTGGAAAGGTGAGCGGCTTGGGCCCTCCGTGAAAGCGAGGAAGGAGATCGACAATCGAAGGCAGCCAGGCTTAGGCCTTAAAGTCTCGAGGCTGCTCAAACGTCGATTTCCAATCTTTCAAAAAGCGAGAGAAGCAGACTGGTAAACTGCTTAAACGAACACCCAACACTCAGAAGCGCTTGTCTGATTATTCGCAGGGCAATGTTTGTGCGCCTGGCTGAGATTGGACACACCCCCATCATGCTACGCACTCAGTATCGGTGCCACCCCTTGGTCAGCGCCCTCCCCAACAAGCTGTTCTACGCCGGACGACTGCTGGACGGATGCAGGTGATTCGTCATGTACCATTGTGGAATAAAATGGTGTTTCTGCTTGTCTGCTTGAACACCTCTCGTGGAATCGCTTTGGGTGTGCGCTTTGCTGGATCCTCTTGAAAAGCTATTCTGCATCCGCAATATGTCTTCCCTTCTAGCTCAAGTTTGCAATTATTCTCCAGCTCGCGTGGATCCCTTATTCCTCCGCGAACGAACCCTCCAGGAGAGGCCACCTACGCTTCCTTTCCATCCTCTCCTTGCAGTGCTGCCGACAGGGCCGCACTCGTGGCCGGTCTGCCTGCTCTGCTCTTCCTGGATACTCGCCAGGAAGCACAGGAAGCGCGGGATGCATCCTCGAGCTACTACAACGACTACGAGGCCAACCTCGCGGCCAGGATGGTCAACAAGCTCATTGACAAGGGCTGTAGACCTGGCCAGATAGGGGTCATCGTCCCCTACAGGGCACAGGTATTTATGTTCCAAAGTCACTTGTGTTGCTTTCGAAGTCTGGCGCTTAAGTTCCAGATGCTCCTTCGTACCAGAAGGCAAACCGATGTTCTCTCGTTTTTGTGAATCGAACAAGAGGGAACCATTTGGAAATCCCCGTTGGCAAAGACATGTCTGAGCTTGCTCGTTCGGCTTCTACACACGAAGAAGTGTAGAAGAAGCAGGCTGTAAGAACTGATACCAATCAATCGTGGTTGCAGGCTTCCAAGCTGAACTCGTTGCTGTCGGAGCTTCAGAGCGGCACTCAGCCCAAGAAGCGCCGTCGTAAGGCTGCTCTCGAGGACGAGGATCAGCTGAGCGACTTCGTCCAGGTCTCGACAGTCGACGCATTTCAGGGGATGGAGAAGGACATCATCATCCTGTAAGCAGCTCATCCTGCCTCAACACGTCTTCTGTCGCTGATCGCCGGAAATGATTGCGTGCGTTGCAGCTAGACGCTGGCTTCTTGTTGGAAACCTAACGCACTTGCCGAGCTAGACGTCCTCTGGGTGTCTCAGAAGCTGCGATCGTTATGAAAGTAATCCCTTGAAAATTGAAAGACTTCCTTCATTGCCTGCAGGTCGTGCTGCCGCACTAACGGCATCGGCTTCCTGGCTTCCCCTCACCGGCTGAACGTGGCCATGAGCCGGGCCCGGAACCATCTGCTCATCATCGGCTGCGCTCCCAACCTGCAAACGTGCCCCATGTGGAAGGAGCTGCTGACCTGCATACGAAGGTATAGCGTTGCTAGCTTTCCGGACTTATTATTCAGTTGTGCCCGAGGCTCGCCGGGGATCCTTTTTTGAGCGAGATTTACTGAGTGAGGATCACCAAGCTTCGTGTCAAATCTGCTTTTCCTTTCTTTCAGACAGCGCTCTTCTTATCCTCATCACTCTAAGGGAGTGCCTGCCGTCATGCTGTTCGTCATGTCTCCTTTCCTCTTGATGACCTCAAAAAGTTCGCTGTCTTCTTTCAACTTTTCGAGTCTGCTTCAAAACTCCTGTTACCTTTCCTGTGGTTATTCGAAAGCCCGAGGACCCCTGCACTTCTGTGATTCCATGTTCATCCTTTCAGGACACCACTGGCCTATCGTCCGGCTTCAGCACCACTGCCCGGCCTGGAAGTTCCCCCCGTCCTGCCGCAGCCCCAACTCCTTCCCCCGCCCTCCGAGCCCAAGCCGTCCGCCTCTCCAGAGCCCGTGCTAGCCAGTCCAACCGGTCGCCCTTCCCCACAAGACGGCCCTTTCCTTGGTCCCCTGGAGAAAAGACACGGAGTCGAGGCCGCCACCCAGCAGCTGATGAGCTTACCGGCCAGTAGAGCCTCAGAAACGCCAGCGGGCAGTTGTGAGGCAGCCTCGTCCACCATCTTTGACTTTCTCGGTCCCAGGGGGCAAGGCTCGTTGGCTGAGGCGCTGGCTGAGGAGGCGGCCGTACATGAAGCAGCGGTTCGTACCGGTCAGGGCGAGGGTACCGGGGCAAGGCGGCAGCCGGAAAAGTGCAGCAGGCCTGAGGAGTCCAGTTCAGGTATGCTCTTCGAAACCCCTGGGAGTGCTTTGCAGTTCAAAAGTGGGCCCCTCGGATCGTCTCTTGCGGTCAACAAGGCTACAGACAATTCATCCGTTCATCCAAGACAGGATCCGGGCACAAAATCTACCAAAAGTCGGTTAGAGGTGTCAACGCCGGCATACAAGATTGGTCTCTTCAATCCTGAATGCTCTTAGTAACAGGACGAGAAAGAAGGTTTTCTGGGACTTTCGACGCCTAAAGAACTTTGTTGCCGTTGTGGCTATCTCAGAATCTCCACTTGCAGAAAGATTACTAGCAGTCTGCATCTTCTTTGACATTGAAGTGGAAGCTTTTCTTTTCTCACGGTGGGGTTTCTCTCTTCACCACAGCGTCTCTCGATGATAGCGACATCGAGAGTCCATCAGGTCGAGAGACAGAAGTGGATGGTGACCGACCGTCCCTGGACTTGTGCTCGCGCGCTATGGAAGACGCGCTGGACGCCGCCAACTTCGGGTAAGCGCTTCTGCAAGGTCCTGCGGCCTCTCCGCAGCTCTCGCTCTCCTTCTTCGTATACCTTGAACAGCTTGTGCTGTGAGACGCGGTGCCGTCCACTGCTTGCTGCTGGTAATTGTCCAGCAAAGCATTAATCTGATTCTACTTGCTCTCTCGGCCATGCAGGCTCCAGGACTACTGGATTGGGTACTCCCGGTACAGGCTGTCTACGTTTGACTCGACCGCAGCCCACAGACAGGCGTTCCTTGACTCAAAGATGTGTAAGTGACTGCCTTACACTGATCCCCTCGTCTTTTTAAGCTTATTGGTAGTCTGCAATTCATTCCTTTTGGGGCGGGCCATTTCCGGTTCTCTTGCCCCTCTGATAAACTCCGAGTAAAAACTGAACTTTTGTCTTTGAGCCGTGTGTGGATTATGAGCCAGACCTTACGGGGTGCCAAATTCGTAAAGGCGATGACGAATTCTTTCGGGCTCCAACGCCTCTGCTGCTTAGCCGCCCTTTTCTGCTCTTGTAACAAGCCGTTCCGCTGAGCAGGTCGAGTCCTGGGTTCGGCATTCGGCGTCGCGACCGACCGCTGGCGGCCCAATCTGGGCAAGCTGGTCAGGGAAGCGCGCATCATGATGGAGGACTACCTTGAGAGCAGGCACGGGGAAGGCTGCACGGCCGTCAGGTAAATGTTGCGGACTTACCACCTGCTTGTTGACCAGAAGATCGTCTGCGGATCCTTGCTGCACCTGCATTGGATGTTGACCGCTCAATCTGTTTGCAAAAGCACGCGAGAAAAGAAATGGCAAAAACGAAGTTTCGTTCTGTTAAGCATCACTTGCTGACCTCTCTGCATGGTGCAGGCGACTGATCCCCCAGTTCGAAGACGTCGATGAGCTGAAGAAGACCGAGTTTGGGAGACGGCTCATCGAAGAATCGCTGGTAAGCCTGATCCAGAAAGAGCGACTGCGGTTTTTCAGCCGGTGTCAACATCAGTCAGAAAAGAACTGCACGTTCTATGGTCACTGAAAGGGTCAACTTTTTCTGCAAGTACAACCTTTTGCTTCCAAAGTGAGACGAAGAATCGACAAGGCAGGATAGAGGCGCAGAATGCGGCCTCTGTCCCTCATTAAACCTGTGCAGCCGAACCTCTCCGCTATCTACGCTCCTATATTGATCGCTGGAACTGGTCTCGCGCCAACCCTTGACGCCGTCCGCTCCGTTCATTGCAGGACGAGGAAGCCGCAGAGGCATCCGCAGCCGGCGTAATACGGTCGGTACACCCGTCGGCCAAGATTGTTCCCGCCCAAGGTTCCTTCGCCAAGGCACTCGGGGAGCTGAAGGCAAGGCTCGATGTTGAACCCTCGTCCAGGATCGGAAGAGACGGCAGCGGTCAGTCCTCTTCAGATAGTGATGACAGCGATCGATCGCCAGAGGGCTTATTGCGGATTAGAAAACGAGCCCGATTACAGAGAGAAGCCGACTTCGATGCTCCCTCGTTTGACCTAGGCATAGACTGATCGTCCGTGATGGAAGAAATCAGAATTGGCTTGCCAGGCGGGTTGTCAGCCATTTGAACATGTTGATCACACGTCGACGAAGTTGATCATTGTCGTTGCTGCTTACTGGCTTTGAGTAAGGATGCATAGCATCTCGCTAACGAAAGATACAAATTGATTGATACACTGGGCCGAGTCGGCTTCAGTAGATAGACAGGGATTCAGGCACCTTTCGTACTGTTCCGCATGCTCAGCCGCAATGTAATGCGCTTGAATGCACCGCGACTTGTATGTTGAAACGGTGTTCAATGATTGTAATTCAGCGGCAAAAGTTTTATTGAAGTCACACGGGCTCATTGTACACTGCGGCCGTTTCAGCATAGTGTGTCGATGCATGTGTCCTTGCATCAGATTAACTGGCGGAGCTGCATTGGTAGGGATCATGATCCATCATACAGCGGCTGCAGGTGCAGTGCGCGATCGCGATCCTCCGCGCTCCCATGCAGAACCAAGGAGCTGCATCATCGCACATCCGCTCAGCTCAATATAGTATCACCACAGTGACATTGTTCAGCATTTGTCTGAAGTGAACGATTATCTCGGCTACGGCCAGCATGCGCTGCGAGGAATTGGAGCGCCACATCTTGCATCATCACTCTTGCGAGTCCGCGCGTGTATATAATCTGTTGATGGCTACTACCCACTAAACTCTATGCTTGATAAACAGCAATTTCCGATCTCTCTGGCCTCTTACAGGATGAGAAAGATTCAAAGCCGATTGCCTATCGGAGACCCTTATACAACGTGAACGGCACGGCTGAGCTGACCTGACAAGGACCAAGCAACTTGAGCCTCTAGACGTAACGGCTGCTTCTCGGATGCGACCTGTGGCGAGGGCGTTATATGGCTGCATGTAAATAAATTGCAGATGTCACACTTAAGCTAATTGCTGCATTAGCCGGCTCTGTCAACGACGATTTTATTTTGTCGTTGAGTCGCTCACGCAGCGCTACCGCTTGGCTGAGTGATCACAGGCTGCGTAACAATCGTTTCTCCAATCCAGCTTCCGCTTCCGTTCCTACCCTGACTTCCCTTCCCGACGCCGAGAGCAATATTGGCCTCGAATCTTTTTGGGAGCTGACCGGATGGGCGACAGCCTCAGTAATAGGGTCGTTTTGGGCTTCCGATCGAGCTGTAGGATGAAGCGCGAGAGGATTCAGGGGTTCGGGGTTTGTGCCATGCCGTCTGCTTCACAACAGGAGGCTCGGAGCCAAGTAGCATCGCGGGCGGCCGGCGCAGATCCGAAAGGGGGCATTAATCAACCTCAGGTCTTCTTGAGCCCGCCATCATGCAAGTGCGCCGAGATCGATAATCTGCCGAAGCATTCCAAAATCAAGAGGAGCCGGAGTCGTGGGTCGCCAAGCAGAGAGCGCGGATCAGTCTGGACAATTCAAAGCCTCGCATGTCAATTCATCTTCCGGGAAGTCACGTCTTCCTTCCTCTTCGTATCCAGCATTAGGAAAAGGAAGCCTTAGGATGTGGGTTGTTCTTTCTTTAATCTTTGTATGTGACCTCACAACTTGGCTATACTGTACTGTGAACCAGTGTGTTCAACATGAGAATCCTCGGGATCGGATGACTTCACTGAAGTTCGACGGCATTGTTGACCTCCACTGGCTCAATACCTCGTTAAGCAACATCAAGAGCCTCTTAATCATAGATCCCAAGGGAGACTGTGCGAGTCGTATGTACGCGAGTTCAACTGGTCGAGCTCTTCTCGAACATCAATTGAATCAATGGTAGTGTGTGAGCGTCACACACAAATGATTTAGGTCGTACTATATCATAAAGTCAGCTGCAGGTTTGACCTACTATTCATTGCTCCGAAAATCCCGTCGTTCATTTTGCAGCAGATGACGTAAACGTTTTGTGGCTGCCTGGCAATGAGATCACCAGCTGCAGGCGCAGCAATTCGATATCTGACAAGGTTGTGGCGTCGACATATGATTCCTTGGCGAAGACTACTCTTAAGGCACTGGTTTTCTGGCTGGAGTAGTCACGTCCAATGACGCGAGGTGATCTTGTCCTCATAATTCTATCTGAATGTACCTTTCCGATGACTCGCGTTCTTCCTTCTCTGCGCAGACCACTGTTTCGGCCCGTGCTTTTCTAGACCTTCAGAGCCGTTAGTCACATCAAAAGTTTCTCGATGCTTCACCACAGGCAACCGAGAGAGACACGTTTCTTGTGCAATGATCTTTTACTGCTGTGATGTGACGACCGCCTATGTTTTGTCCCCTTCCGGTTTTCTCGGATCGTGCTGGTTCATTCAAAAGCCAAGGGTCCGTTCGAAGTTGCTTTGCCAAAAGCAATTTTGGATACTTATTGCAGCGCCTCTCATAGGTACCCCACCGGTGGGTGCTCCATCATGTACGTTTGCCCTTGGCAGCAAGTGTACGTTTTCACAGGTATAAAACTGCACACCCAGGCGCTCAGAAATGCAGAATCAAATTCCCATATGACCACCCTTCGCTTTCAATCTTCATTCCACCTTCGAGCGTTCAGAAGCAGACTTCAGATTCAAGAACGGGCGGACGAAGGGCTAGGCCTGCCGTGCGCCATGACGCGCGTCAAAGGCCACAGGAGCGACCGCAGTGCCGGAGAGTTCTCTGAAGATGCTCGGCAGGGCGAGGTGAGCTTTAATCTCTTGGTGTCTCTTCGACCTCTTTTCACAAGTGCCTTTCAGATATAAAAAGAGTCCCCAGAAACGCCACGAACACTCGGGGTTTTAATATGAAGGCTGGTCTGAGGAACCTTCATTTCAGTCGTCTTCAGTAAAACTTTGTCTTTCTCCTTCTGCTTGCTCTTTGACGAGACATCTGAACAGAAACCCTCTACCCCGAAGAACATTTGTAGTCCTCTCTGATCAGATTTCTCTTCTTCTAAGGATTCTTGCCAGGTTTCTCACGTCAGACCCTGCAAGACAAGTCCTACTTGTGTAAGAGTTGTCACGTCAATGGAAGCCTTGCCTTTCTCCTGCCAAAGTGGTGAGATGATGATAGAGTATTATGTATCCCAGGTCTAGCTAACAGTTCTTGCAGAAAGCTGATGCCAAGGCAATTCGGCCGCATAGCCGTCAGCATTGCCAGAAAAGTCGGAGAGCCCTTGTACACAAGTTTGTTGAAATCGGTCCAACCTTCGTGTATTAAATACCCTTAATACACGAACAGGCAATCTTGTTGCCTTTTCCTGACCTATTTTGTCTTTCTGCTTCAGGCCTCCAATGCCCCTTCAGCAAAACGTCCTGGGCTGGTAGGGGTCATGAACCTGAGCTGCTAGGAAGCGATCTTTATCTTCCAAACATCTCCCATCTGGGTGAGTACTTCTTGCCGGGTGCATTGGATCCCCGTAGCCTTGAAACGAAGAAATTGACAAATAAGATGCGCACTTTTTCTGACCAGAATGGCACCACGCCTGATGTGACAGGCAAAATTTCAAATGCATTCATCAACTCTTTCTTGAAAGCACCTCCGTATTCCTACAAGTTCGGCCTATTTTTTCCAACGAAATAGGAATAACTACTGTATTCCCATAACTCTGGCCCGTCTTTTAAAACGCGATTACCGTTGTCTTCACGAATATGCCGTCTTTGAGTCGTCTGCAACGGATGCCTATCATTGTGACCTCTTTCGTTCCTCAGTTTTTTTGGCAACAATATCACACCTTTCTCAGTTACTGCAAAATTGGTCAGGGTGGCAAGTCACAGCATTCTAAAAGTATCAAGCCTTGACTTGCAGGAAAGCTTTTGCACGAGGAGGTTCGCCTGCAGCGCAGCCGGCTGGCCTCGTGCAAAAGTTCTTCCAGATGAGAAACGAGCCGGGGGCGATGCGTACAAAATCTCTGATCGACCGGGAGAGAGGGATACACTGAAGGAAGAAGATCACTCTAGTGGAACAGCTAGTGCTCTCAGAAGTGCGGACACAAGCATTGGCTTTCATAGAAAGTTTTTGCGTTTGAAACTGTTCAGATTTGCTCGTGATCTGCAGGCCAGACGGCTTCGGTTTTTCGAGCTTTTAGTATTCACTACGTTCACTTGCAGAAATTGTTTGTAGATCAGACCCGAGACACCACTCTCAGACCTTTGACAGCGTATCAAACTTAAAGTGCATGTACGACGACAAAACGGCGTCTCGAGAATCTGATTGCCAAATCGAGTGTCCCATTGTCCCGCAGACGTGTCTTTCGACTAATGGCAGGTTTAGAGTATTGTGCAATTCAATATCATCATCACAATGAAACCCAGAACGTCTTGAGCTGAGAGTAACGTGAATCCCGTTGCGTATCTTCCCTGAGCTGACAGCCGTGTGGTTGTCACGCATTTTATACATTACTCGATCGACTTCATATCTGACCGCAATTCCCCGCAGATTCTCTAGTTGTCAAGATTGTGGGCTTCTTCACACTTAGCTGGTAGTGCATTTGGCGAGAAAATTGGATGTGGCAAGCTATCTCGACAAATCATACGTGAACATGGCGATCACACCATGAAAGATGTCTCAATGTGGTCTCAGTGTCCATATTTTTGACCTCGATCGTGAAATGGCACAATTATGGCGCCATGATGTACCACTGAGGTCTTTAATTGAAGGCAAAGACGTCTCTTGGTTGCGTCATCTTAGTACTTTACGTAGTTGCATTTGTACTCTATTGTTCGCCCAATGAAGCGATTCCGAAGTTCTCCAGAGGTCGCCCCACTGGGTCGGCGCATTATGTGCGGCGGCCGCCCTCGCCGCGGCCGGCAACCCGCGCGTTGCAGACGGCGAGAACAGGTTTACGCCACTTATGCAGGATGCCAGCTGTCGTGCCCGGAGGGCCAAAGCCCAGCTAGCCAGCTGTCGCTGTACAGGCTACAGCGCTGGGCTTGCACGAAACCCTAAAAGCAGCTTCCCTCGTGACATGACATTGAGGCGTTTTACATGGAGGTTAAAGTCCCGACGGTAAGTCGATTTTCGGACTTACCACGACTTGCCTTTTACATGGTAGCGACTTACCGTGGTAAGTCGACTTTACCGACGGTAAAGCAGGCCCCGATTTAACTCATCGAAATCGATGAGGTAAGTCGTGGTAAGTCGTGGTAAGTCCGAAATGAGTGCGGATTTGTCCTCGATCGGGACTTACCATCGACTTACCTTCGGACCATGTAAAACGCCGATCGCAACGAGGCCACGGTAAGTCTGGGCGGTACAAGTTTAGTCGCGACAGTGCGCGGTAAGTCAGCACTTACCGTCGGCAACCCACCTCTCATGTAAAACGCCTCATTCTTGCAATTCTTGTTTTGGATGTTTTGTGATGGTGGCTCCCTTCTGGTGCCTCCAAACTCTCTCAAATGCTGACGTCATAATTCCCAAAAGCGAAGAGATACGTCATCCTACGCCCGGAGGTAATTCGACTACGATGTTTTCGTACAAAACTTAGGGTTTTAAAATCCGCAAACTGACGTCATAAACCCTATTTTGTATACTATTATGAGCCCCTTCAACTGAGCTTGTCGAGCTGTGCGCTCTGAGTCTCCGCGGCGGCAACTTTTCACCTCTTCAAAAGCTGAGTAGCTTCCTCCTCTTCGCTGCGACCTTTCGGGGACCTTTCTATCTCTTCTTCCTACTCATGTGCTGAGTGTGTGTTTCTTGCAAGGAAGTGCCGCGGGGACGCGCCCCCAAAGTTGCGCCTTGCTGCCCCCTTCTACCTCTCGCTTTGCTTGAAAAAGAAAGAAATGAAAGCCCTGTCGGATGTCCTTCCTAAGGTAGCTTGCAGTGCAGTCTTGAGCCTGTGCTAGGCTGCCATGCAGTTGTCCTAGTCACGGTCGACTCAGCGCATGACGCAAAATGGCAGGGGCCGAGTGACATCACCGAAGTGAAGGTCGCTGCCTACGTCAGCATACCTTTAACGAGAAATGCGGCTCCCCTTCGCCCCCCTGCCCGATTGAGTATTTCTTGCTGTTTCGAGTTGACTCGATACTTTGCGATACCCCCCAAGTGCATTGGTGGCTCATTTGAGGGGAATTTGGAAGCCTGGGCGTAGGGAAGCTCTGCCGCTGCGGTGGTCACCCGTCTTCTTCAAGCAGGGTGGTTTGACTGCTGCAGCTATGGAGCCGCATTCTGTTCCACAGTCTGATGCTCACGCGCCACTTGCGCATGCAAACGCCGTGGACTTGGATGGCGAACGGCCCGAGCCCCTGACCAACAAACCTCGGGAGACTGCTGCAGGGGAGCTGCACGAGTCAGCCGCGCACTCTGCTCATACACCCTCATTAAACCCTGTTCCAAACCCAAACCCCGCGCTGGGAAACCACGCCGGCAGCTGGGGCGCTGCACCGGCGACTGGGATCCCCTCCCATTTCCCTTCCCAGGCCCCATTTCACGGCCCTCCGTTGACCAAAGGAGATGACGCGCTCGCGTTTGACTTGGAGGCGGGCCGGCGACCGGGGTTGAACGACGGGTATAGCGGAGGGTTTAATAACGGGCTCAACGGAGGGTTTCAGGAAGGGGTTAAGCGGTCAACCAGGCACGAGCGGTGGCTTGAGCGGCAGGCGCAGAAACAGGGCCCCTGGGGAGAGGGCTTCCAGGGCATCCATGTTCTGTTGTGGCTGATTCCAGTCAGTGGAGGCCTGGGCTACGCGTTTGTGTGAGTGGCAAGGACCATTTTAGTTTACATTATAATTTCGTGATTTGTTCAGGACCTCTTGAGACCTGGCGAGAACAGAAGATGTTGGCAGAGCAGCCGGGTGGTACATTGCTTTGCCTTACTACAGCTGCTTACGTTGTTTTGGCTGAGGCACCAGAATTGCAGAGACAAAGCTGTCTAGTCCAGAGTGCTCATCTGGTGTAACATATGGTGCATGCTCTTCAAGGACCGGACTCCTGTAATGACGCCTTTCGCATTGACAAATTGAAATTCTGAGGTGGCGGTTTTCGTCCACTTCTTTCAGATTGCTTGGTGGGCCACTCTTTTGGAAGCTCTAAAATTGCTCAGTCAGTCATCTGCGACATAATAGCATGGTGAAAATTGCGTGGCAGTCCATATGCCCAGGCCACCGAAAATCCCTCTCTCAGTGCACAGTCACCACATCTGCGACCGCTTCCGCGATTGACTGCAAAGATTTGGCAGCCGTCAAAGTAAGGCGCGTATATACGTAGCACCAGCAACCAGAGCGTTGACCAGACTGTGATAAGACCCCAGATAAAACCGTCGAAGGTATCTTAGTGGAGTCCTGGTAAGACGAGCTATCAGTCAATTCATGAGCTGTTCGGCAGATGAAAAGGGAGCCTCATTCGTCAATTTTGGCGAAGACACCATCGAAAGAATCTGGACACCTTACGACCATGTCAACACCTGTAAGCAACCTGCCACGGACCCCCCCGGATAAACCTCTACAAAACTAGACGCTTTCATGTTTTGCAGAATCAGACCCCGTCCCGTCTGCTTTGGCCCCCCAAAAAAGAAACATTCACGACCGGAGCCTCTTCATAGGATTATGGATGCCTCTTGTGCAGACTCCCATGGATCCACCCCTGGGCCCTGCGTCTGACGCTGTACATAACGGTGGGGGTGTGCCTGTGCCTGGCGCTGGTCTGTCTCTACCTCGTCAACCAGCTAGACCCCGGGGTCGTCACACCGCAGCCCATGAAAGGTATGCCAAGCTGCCACGGTGAAGTTGTAGGGTGCCCGTCAACTTGGAAACATTAGTCAAAACAGCCAAGAGGGAATTGTTCGTTGGTCAATTGCTTATCCTCTCTGAAAGAAGTCCGCCTTCTTGGAAAGTTTTCATGACAGGGAGATCAGCAAGCATTAGGTAAGCGTCGAGAGCTTGTGGCCCCTTGAAATGTGTTCGAGGCAAGTCAACTTCGACGAACACTCAAAGGCGAGTCGTTCCAGCCGACTCAATACGGCCCAGCCGTTTATGGATGCTCCCTTCTTGAACCTTCGACTTGCTTCCCCATTCGCATTTTGCGCACAAAAAACGAGGAGCAAGTTCTTCTCAGCCTTTTGAAATATGGCTTCACTCCACGTGATCCATTTTGTCTCATCTGTCGCAATTACAAGACCCGGTCACACGGTGTAACTGGCTTTCTTTCCGCCGTCCGAGGTCGAGACTGTCGAATGTGACGCGGTCGGAGATAAGCAGCTGACGTCAGGCGAGCCCCGCCGCCAACTTCAACTCCCATGCCATCCTCTACCCCAGTTCTCGAGGTCGTTGCAGCTTAATCCGGCCAACCCTCGTGCCTGTGCATGGATAAGTGCACACAATGGGTGCAAAAGTGCCCCGACTTAAATTAGCGTCTCTTAACTCCCACGACATCTCTCCCCTTCAGATCCCGAAGTTGTTGCGGCGGGAGTCGGGTCAGCCCTCGCGCCTGTGCATGGACCGATGCACACAATGTGTGCAAAACTGCCAGAACTTCAAACGGCATGTCTTAACGCCCATAAAATTTCCTCCCCCCCAGATCCCGAAGTTGTTGCGGCAGAGTCGGGTCAGCCCTCGCGCCTGTGCATGGACGGGCGCGCGCAATGGGTGCGGCCACCCCCTTGTTACACGGGCCCGATGGGGGTGGGGACGCAGATCCGCGGCTGGGAGCGGTACTGCAGCACGTGCAACATCTGGCGGGGGCCGCGCGTTACGCACTGCAGCGTCTGCGGATACTGCATGCTGGTGCGTAGGGAGAGTGTGAAGACGTGTCCTGGACCGTTCGTCATTGGGCAAGCTTGTCGGTCAGATTTTGGAGTTATCAAAATTCTGGTCGATGGACACCGCTGAGTTGATGGGTCTGGACGACTGAGGGGCCCCGCGTGTTGCACTGCAGTGTCTGCGGATTCTGCATGCAGGTGCGTGGGTGGGGTTTGATAATATGTCGTGAATCTGGCCATTGATTATCTGCAAAGTTTGTTGAAATGTTGAGTCGTTCCCCAAGTTCGAGTTGGTATGGGGTTTACACGAGTACTTCGACGGCCTAGGCCGTACGTAATGAATCTTGTTAATTAATGCTGGTTTCTAGCAGTTGCCTTCTCAAATTCTAGAAGCTTTTCGATTCTGGAAGGGGTGACCGAATTGATTCGTCCAACCTCCGACCTCTCATTCGTCAATTGCCAAGGACCGACTTCGCAAACGAATTGTTGTTAATGCCACTTTGTGACATAGAACCTTGTCTTCTTCTACAGCCGATGTCCCCATGTGCCACCCTGCGAATAGCCCGTTCAAAGCACGTCATTTCGGCAACAACGGTCGTCAAAATGTCCAAGCGAAATCCCTTCATGCATGCCAATCAGCATCTATCGATCAATTGAGAAATGCGGAAACCTTCGGACAGTCGGCCCCTATTGACACGTGCCAAATTAACTACAGCGCTTCGACCACCACTGCGCGGTGGTGGGCACGTGCATCGCCCAGAACAACCACCGCTTCTTCGTCGTCTTCCTCATGAGCAGCGGCGTCGGCGCCGCCCTGCTGTTTGCAGCGAGCATCATTCTTCTGGTGCAGCGGCATTGGGAGGGGTAAGTGTGCTGTGTACTTTTCCGGGTTGATCGTAACTCTCGGAATCTGGTTAAAACTCCATGGTTACTTTCTACTGAGCATCATCCTACTGGTCCAGCGTAACTGGGCCGGTTGAGTTTGATTTGGTGTTATCCTTCAGGGTTCGTTGATTCAGAGGCTAGGCTTTCAGGTATTTGGATTTAAGCTTGATATTCCGGGTCTTGGCATCACGGTTGAAGAGTTGATAATTGAAGGTATTTGATTATTTCTGCTGGACATAATTTTCTTCGTGAGCCCCCCGACGCAAAATGGGCCGTTGTCGTGATGCGCCCTTCAGCTTGAAAATCTCACACGTCGTTAGGATAAAAGGTTTGAGGATCCGGTCAAAGCAGAGGTGTTGCTGAACATCAGCCTCCTGGTGGAGCGTTTCTTGCCGGCGTGAGCAGTATATGAAAGACTCTGTCCCAAAGTTTATGAAGCTAGGATGCGAGGGCTTTCCAAACCCCTAGTATGCAGGACCTCACGTGTACCCGCCGAGTGTAGATGACGTCATGTATGCTCACTTCTTGAGAATTTTTCTGCAGGAGCCATGCCTGGAGCGACTGGCACACTTACCTGGGGCTGCTCATGACCTTCTACTACTTTTACCTCGCCTTCCTGCTGCTCTTTGGCTGCTGCCACCTGTGCCTCCTGCTATGCGGTAAGACACAAGTGCTAACGCTCTCGGTATTCTTTGCATCTCACAGCTTCGGTTTTTGTAGCGTAATGAGTTGGTGTTTTAAGGTGGAACGGTCTCCTCGTGTGGATTCATAAACTTCTTCGAAGCTTCTCATCAGTCTCGCCTCTTGTTTGTTGCTTCTGCGTTTCGTCATTCGGATCAAGCAGGGCGACCAGTATCGTCGAGTTTCTGTAATTCCTCAAGCACGTTGCCATCACGCGAAGTGGGCTGAACCAGCGCATTAATGGGTTGGTCGTAGCCTGACCGACGGCTGGGCGACCCTGTACCACGTTTGGTGGAGAGAGCTTGCCTGGGCTCAAGCGGAGAAAAGGGAAGAGTCGCAGGGAAGAAGGAAGCTTCTGAACGAAGGACATGACCAACCATTCCAACTGTTTCTGATTAGCAAGCTAGGTTCGTCTCGAAACGAGCGAAGCGCACATTCTGCCCGGTCGATTGTCAGGAAGGATACAGTAGTGGGGGACAGGGAAGCGAAAACACTTGGGATTCATTCACTCCCAGATCAGGACTGTCTGTATGCGGTCTTCAGTTTAGAACAGCACTGATTTGTTGGAAATCTACATGCGTTTGCGCGGTCGCTCAACGGACTTGCAATCGCTATCTGTCTGCAGACCTGACGTCGAAGCAGATGGCGCAACGTCGGATTAACGAGGCCTTTGGCGGGTTTTGCTCCTGTCTCCGCAATTTGGTGCGCGTGTGCTGCGCGCCCATCCGTCACAAGCGTGACGTCATTCCCCCGTACAACATCGGCCAGCCGCCCCCCGCCCGAATCAACCGAGCCGGTCACCAAGCGCCGGCGGGCCGGGACTTAGAGCCGGGAAAGAGCCCCGAGGGATCCCCCGGGGAGACCGGGTGGAAAGACATTGAGCAGGGGGTGTTGAGAAACGGGGGAGCAGTGGGGGAAAGAAACAGAGAGACGGCGGGTTTGGATGGATCGGACGATCACGTGGTTAGCGAGGGCGTAGCGGTGGGAGTAGACCCGGGAATGCGGGCGCGAGCTGAGGGGGATTTTCAGGAGGAAGAGAACCGGCGGGTTGGGGAGGTGGCGCACTTGGGACCGCTGTTCCCGGGCATGTGACGTGGCAGGCGTCACAAGGGTTGAGATCTGTTCGATCCGGCTTGTTTCTAATGACAAGATTCTGTTGCGCGCGCTTGCCAATTCTTCTGGTAAATACTTGGTTTGAAACTGCTACAGCCGAGCTCGAGCCCGGAAAGGGCTTTTGTACAATTGAAGCTAGCCGGAAAGGGCTTTTGTACAATTGAAGCTAGCTAAGTGTAACTGAGGCTTGTAAAGAGTACGCCGTAGGAACGTGTTTGTTTAAACATGGATGCGGCTCGCTTGTATCTAACATATAAGGCGCCAGCGAGGCGCTTCGTCGCGTTTAGAAACAGGTTATATATCCACGTGTGGCCTGCCGGGCTCAGTAAGGATCCTGCCCATATGAACGCATGCACAATCATCCATGGCACACGCGGCTTACGGTAACAGGATCGATTGCGTTCGAATGTTATGCACCGATCCCAGGACAATCCCATCCGGTTGTTGCGACCAGGTGGGCGTTGGTTTCGGTTGCAAGTATTGAAAGCTGCTGCATGGGGCGCTCAGTGTGGAAGGGGTCGGGCTTTGTTTCTAGGGCAGTACGGGCATGGAAAATCTTGGTGGCAACCCATGAGTGCCTGCCTGTCTGCATGTGGACGTGGCCGGCCGCGACACATACATGAGGAGTGTATACAGATGCATCGGTCGTCGGATGGGTTAATTAATGCGCATCCCGAGGATTTGTAATTAGAAGCCTGGGCTGAATCAAAGCTTGCATGGCACGTGCTCCATGTATGATCGTGACCACGAGTGCATGTACGTGCACTTGACTCGAAGATCACTGTGACTTCGATGAGTTGGTGCACCTTCGATCAGCAGCAACTTTGCGTACATACTAGGTGCGGCAGAAGTACGTGTTCAGCGCACTAGGTTTAGAGGTCTAAGACTCATCGGCTCACAACCTTCTGCGCGAGATTCTGTAGAACCACTTCGCCCATCTTTTTCGTCCCCACCAGATTCTGCACGAGAGAGCAACTGGTTTAGGAAAGTTGCATTCGAAGGGTCCTTTTTTCCGGCCATCGAACTGTAGCTGCTCGCAGTGATTCGAGATTTAGCATTTTACAGCCGCAAATGCTGTATCAAGAGCGGATCCAGATCAGCTATAATTCTCCATTTCCGAAGCAATCCCACTGTCTGCTGCTGTTGGATTGGCAAAGCGACTGGATGAATAAAAGCAGGACCAGACAAATCAGCACTGGAGAAATGAGAAAGTGCTCGATTAATCGCAAGGATCTATGCAGAGCAGCAAAGCAGTACCTCCTCTGCATCTTCGATGGTAATCACGATGGTTTGCAAGCTTCCTTTACAGTGGGTCTTCAGAAATGAAGCACGAGAGCTGACAACTCCCAGATCCAAAGCGTTTTTGTTTCTTGAGAGCTTTCCTGCTAGTTCTAGCTTCTTCTCTCAGGGGCGGTTCGTCGGACCTGATAATTTGTGAGTGTCCTGACGGCCGACTTGCTTGCTACCGCCGGCTCTGGGCTCAGAATGCTGACTAACTTGCGTGCCCCGCTGCTCATCTGCTTCGTCTTTCGCGGATGATCACACCATTGACTCTAGACCCATTTAGAAGGCACGAAACAACCTTCCAACTAGGGCAAGAACATTATTCGCTGCGCAGATGGCAAAACCTCTACCAGAAAAGAGAAGAAAAACTGATTGCATCGCACAGCGGACGCATGCTCACCAGTCCTGCCGAGATGATCTCTCCCGTCCCGTACCCGACATCAGGGCGGCGGGAATTTTCTTCACCAAAAAAACCAAAAGGGAGACGATTTGCTTCGGACAGCGGACTCACCATTCCTGCGGACATGATGTCTCCCGTCCGGTACCCGGCATCTAGGGCGGCGAGAACGGCGGCCTCGATGCGGTCCGCGGCAGTGGCCTCGTTGAGCGCGTACCGCAGCAACATGGCGGCACTCAGGATCTGGGCGAGCGGGTTGGCCTTGTCCTGCGCCCAACAAAGGATCATATTACGGAGCAAAGTAGGGTTTGCTAGCTGAGATCTGGGCGGGACGGTATGTACCGTCCTTGCAGAGATGCTACTCAGGATCTAAGCCAGTCGGTTGGCCTTGTCCCGTTCCAACGGAGTAGATTTAGCGAGTCTCCAAAGAGCAGAACGAAAGTAAGTAGCAGGTCTTTAACGAGCAGAAAGTTGGTTGGTCAGACAAGGACCGGGCAAAACGGCATGTACACTTTTCGCCAAACTCTTTAAGCGGGCGTATTGCCCTTGTCCTCTTCCAAACGAAGCGATTATTGAGGGTCTCATCGTCCAGTGTTTGCTGGCCGTATCGCAGGACCGTCCACCGCTCAAACATGCTTCTAGCATCGACTTATCCGTGGGTACCCATGAGGATAACTCGAAGGTCTCTCAGCCGTAAGTCCACAGTTCGGATTCGCTCGAGAAACTTCTCTACCAAACAAACGATTCCGTTCCAAGGCCGAGTCCGTTGGTGAAGCCCAAAATCTGTCATGAAAATGCATGGCAGGCGCAGCATTGGACACGATGCGGAATGCACAGCGCATTGTCTGCTGAGGGGTACCAAAAAAAGCGATGGAAAGAACGGGAAGCATGCTTACTTGGCCAGCGATATCGGGGGCGGAGCCGTGGACGGGCTCGTAAACGCCGGGGCCCTGGAGGCAGAAAGATTGGGTTAAGAGCCTCGTTACGCGGGACGATTTGGAGCTTAACCCCAACTGAGTTAGTCACCCTATCACCCGAGTCATGGCCTGGGATTCAGCAACGGTGCCGCCCTGGACGGGCTCATAGACGCTGGGGCCCTATGGTCAGGAGCAGTGTCAAAGCATCGAAGGTCGGATCTTAACCCAACGGAGTTGGTGTACTCGACTTCCGGTGTTAGGGTCTGGATCGAATACGGGTTTGATGGGAAGCCCCGTTGGGCCCGTCACTTGGACACTGGAGTCAGCGATGCAAGACATGTATAGAGGCAAGTCGAAAACAAGCAGTGCGAGAAATACTACAGCGACCGCACCCGTTTTGTGTGCCATGTTTTATTCTACCTAGCATAATGCTCTCTAGACATTAGGCCTATGTACAAAGGAGAACCGGAGGCTTGAGCTCATTAAATATGACGTACCGATTCGGGTATGCTTGCGGAGGGGAGCATGCCAATGCTGCCGGTGAGCATGGAGGCCTCGTCCGAGAGGATGTCCCCAAAGATGTTGCCGGTCACGATGGTGTCAAACTGCGAGGACACAGGTTTTACGTCAAGACCAGTAAGAACCTTCACACCATCTACTTTCTGCCACAGTGTGATGCTACAGCTACTCCTACACCAGACTGACCGCTCCACATGGACACGCGCATGGCAGGAATTGGACAGTGGTTACACCATCTTGGAGCTACTGTTTTCAAAGCGGTTTTGTAGTTTAGCTCGCAGCTCAGGGCTTGATGTTTCTTACACGAGCAGTTTAAAGTGGAAGCGAGACTGAAGCGCTGGTCAGCTTTTCTAGTACTTGTGCAATACATGCTTCTCGGTAGCTTCCGCTTCACATGACCTGACTCGAAACACGGGCAAACGGCACAGGAGCGGGAAAAGTTATGGCCAGCGCAACCTCGGAGCATTAACCGCAGCATCGAGCGAGGAGTAAGACGTGACTTGGTTTGCGCACCTGTTTCGGCGCCCGGATGAGCTGCATCGCCGCGTTGTCGACGTACATGTGCGACAGCTCTACGTCCGGGTACTCCTTGCCGAGCTCCGTCACGCGCTCCCGCCACAGTTGTGACACCTGGCAGAAAGACGGGCAGCCTCGACGTCACGATACCGAAGCAAGTGTTCACTAAAAGGATCTAGAAGCCCCGGGCACACAAACTGGAACATCTTAACTTTGGAAACATCACGTGCTCCGCACCCTACCCACCCTAACCACCAAACCAACCCTACCCGGCCCCCGGATGCCTACTTTAGTGACCACTCGTTTGATGGACACTTCCGTTGCCAGAATCAGATTTCGACTGAAGGGACTGTACAACTGGTCGGACAGCCGTCCGCCTTGATTAGGGTGGAAAAAAAGGCGATAAAGCTTAGGAGGAAGTCTCGGAAGGACAACCGCGAGATTATAGGATGCGTGCATACCAATCAAAAGGGCGCGTAAGGGCACCGAACAAGGGATGGGCCCAACAACGAGGAGACCTCGGGAGAATCAAGATCATTAGTCGGACAAAAGGCTCTGCCCGTGATGGAACGGAGCGTCCTGGTACTCGAAAGAGCTCCTCACCTCGAGCACGTTGGCCTTGTCCACTGAGCACAGCTTGCCCCCGCGCTTCTGAGCGGTCTCGAAACCAACCCGTGCGATCCTGTCGATCTGTGTCAGAGGAACGAAGGTGAGGTGACTTGACGGAGATCTGAAGATCAGAACATGCCTCTACGTGAACCTCGGAGCAATCGTCTTCAACGAATCCCAAACTCGTAACGTGGCATCTACAACCTTAAGCATCTTCGATCGACTTTGCTACAAAGTTGAATTGCATTGAGACGTGTGATGCTCTTGCAAGTAGCAGTCGCGCATGTTACTGCGAGCCTCAGCTTCTCTCCTCACCTCCGATTCTGAGTAGATCATCGTGTTGAACCCTGTCCGCTCGCCCTTTTCGTTCTTTCCAAAGCCTTTGGGGTTGCCGAAGTAGATGCCCCCCGTCAGTTCCCGAACCACCATGATATCGACTCCCTCCACGATCTCCCGTTTGAGGCTGGATGCGTCAACCAGCTGCAAACATGTGACGATCCATATTGCAATTGGTTATTTGAGCAAACTCCTCCCTACATCAATATCACAGCTTTGAAGCAAATGAGGTGGTCGGAGTGGGCTCATAATACCTCTCTCTCACAAACCTGAGAGCTTGAGAGGCCAAGACTGCTACAAAAGGGAGATACGAATCATTCCTTGGTAGCCCATGTCACGTTCTCTCTACAAAAATTCATGTCCTTTTTCGATCCGCCTGCAAAGAAGGAATCTGGATGCATCCTCGACCTTGATATCCCCCTCGGAGCTTCCCTTCGGGTGAATATCAGCTCTCGTTCACCGGAAAACCATCAATATCGCCGAGCCTACCTGTGGCAAGACGGTGGCTGGTCTAAGGTTGGCAAAGCAGTTGAGGCCGGCACGGAGCCCCAGGAGGCCCCTCTCGGGCCGCAAGTGAGACGGGTTGTTGTCCCACTTGTACCTGCAAATGTATCACAAAAGAAGCTATGAATACTGAAAGCAGGCTGCTCTCCTTCCCCCAATCCACATTGAAATCGATCCTTTACATGATCGAAGCGCATTTTTTGATGTGCTTGACTACTTGAACGCAGCGATTTTGACGCCAACACCAAGTCGAACATATTACCAGACCCAATGTGGGGGCTGTGACTGGCATACGGGACAGCAATCAGGAGCAATGAGCACAACTCCAATTGCTAGCGTCAATGAGCAATCTTTGGACCCACCCTCCCTTGGCGCGTGAGCCAGACGAGCATTGATTCTTCAAGCAAACCACTAGAAATGCTGAGGTTGTTTGCAATGGGCCTTTTGAATCAACAAACCGGCAAATAGCAAGTAAACCTGGAAAGAGCCTATTTACCCCGACCCCTGTTCATGAAGTAATTTGCAAGCTTACCCTCCAATGGCTGCCAGGAGCACAGAGTCGCTGCCCCTGCAGATCTCAAGGGTCTTCTCTGGCAGAGGAGACCCCGTCTCATCGATGGCGGCCCCTCCAACAAGCGCTTCCTCGAACGAGAACTTGATGTCTGCATGTTAAGAAGTCCACATTATCTCAAAGTTGAGGATACTGCAGTTGGGACAATTGTACTCTGGACGATTGAAATGCACCGCACGTTACATAGTGTCCTGAAATCTGAAAGGGACCCCCTCTGTACAATTGAAATGCACCGGACATTGAAGAAGTCACTTACATGGTGTCCTGAAATCTGAAGGGGACCCCCTCTGCAAAATGCACAGTGCCCTGAACCACTTCAATCTTGTTGTGACGTGTGGAACTTTATCCGTGACATAAGCTTGCGTGATCCATGCTGATGGTACAACTTCATCACTGCCATCACAACCTGGAGCAGGAATGTATTCAACAACATGCTGGTCCTTGACCACCTCTCAAGTTTCCAGCGAAGGAGAACACTTTGAAGCGGACAGGAAATTGCACCAGTGATTCTGCTCCACAACTCGGTAAAGTCACAATATCTGCACAATGCTCTTCATGCGGAGTGAAGCCCCCTTCGACCCTGTCCCCATTTTTGTGCGCAGGTCTGCCACTGAAGCCCGGCATTGTACAGCCATAGCATACCACCATTACCAATTACACTCGTTAGAAGCTCAGCAGAAAGGGACGAAGAAGCAACGCTCCAGAACCGCCACCAGCAATAAGTGAACCTTCCTCAAGAGCAGACCAAAAATGCAATTTTTTTCTAGTATCTATTTGAATCACAGGCCCAAAGAGAAAGGGCGTTTGCTACTCACCTTCTTGACTGCCAATCTCCTTCAGAACATCCACCGCAACTTTGATGATCTCAGGACCAATCCCATCTCCAGGCAGGAGCGTGATCTTGTAGCTGCGCTCTCCTGACATTGCAATCCTGGCGGCATTCTGCTTCCCCACCGTCACCTGCTGAACCTTAGGCAGGAACTTGCTGTGCAGATTCTGTGGCGAAGCCGCTACTTTGTGGATGGGTGCACTGAACGCGGGGGAACTTCCGACCGCTCCGATGGAACGGGTGGTGAGGCCTGTGTGCGGCACTGCTGCCCGAGCGGCGACTGCGGAAGACATGATGCTTGCGAAATATTGCGGCCAATGCAGCCAATGCAGCGCTGCACTCAAGACTATGCAGATTTTGAAGACGCCAGCTTGTCAGGCTTCAGCTCCCTTAGCCTTAGGCTTCAGCTTCATGCAGGCCTCTGAGTCTGAGTCTGTCAGATTCACAATCAGCTGCGCTGCCAGAGCAGACGTTTTGGTCGTTTCGGACTTCGACTCCAAAGAGCTTCCTCCGGCCCCGGGCCCCTGGGCCCCAGCTGAACGTAATGCCCGGTTCACATGCGTCCAGTTTTGTTTTGCTTGGTTTTGCCAATTCTGTCCGACGTGGCAGCTCCGTAATCAGCGGGACGCATGTGAACACCACTTTCGAAAACCGAGCAAAACCGAGCTCGGTATTTGCCGAGTATCCGAAAACTGGCCAAAACTCGCTGAAACTCGACCGCATTTCAAAGCTGCGTATTTGTCAAAACCGAACGCGGTCGACGGAGGCCGCGTTTTGAAAGATGAAAACGCGGCCCTTTTTGCCAACTTTTCGGCGGTTTCGGCAAACTTTGAAAACGCATGTGAACCGGGCATAAGGCTACACAGTTATCATTGAGCTAATTAGTGCTCGGGGCAGTCCGGACTTCCGACCGAGAGAGATAAGTTTCGGACGGAATCCTCACGCGCGCACTAAGTTAGCTCGAATCAGTTCCTTTGGAAGGTTGAGGAGGCGACTCCGGAAGGGAAGCTTGCACCAGTGCGGTCGCCAAAGCCGCCCTGGCAAGTTTGCAGCCCAATTGCAGCTTTCGAAGCTGGCATGTACCTGGCCTTAGGAACGAATGCATGGCCGCTTGAAGTTGCAGGGACTGAGAGTCAAAAATTGCAACGTGCCGTCATTGAGCAAGCCTCGTCAATGGCTGCAGCAGCAGGGTTGATCACGGGCATAGATTGTAGCATTGATTACATTGTCAGCTTTGCATGAAGTGGAGCCTTTTCTGCCATCTGGTTCCTTGCACCTTGTAGGTTCAAATGCAGTTTTCTTTAAAGCTTCTGGAAACAATCACACCTTTGAAAGCTCAATCACTGCAGCAGGTTGACGATCAGGATTCTAGACTTCTCTCGAGAAGAAATTGCACACTTGATGCACAATTGTCAGCTCTGATCCGCTCTCCAACGTAATCTAGAAAGGCACCGGCTTGGAGAGAAGTGTACATCAGGGGCTCTTGTAATCTGTTCCAGACACTGAACATGTAGCCCAATGGGTTAGCCGGCCTGCATTTTGCCCCAAATCTTGCATCAAGCAGATTAGTTCTGGGGCTGCATAGTCAACACCTTTGATCGAGCTCCTCAATTCTATGTAGGGCAGCTGAAAGAAAGCACTAAATGTGGGAACACAACTCTCAGAGGGGAAAACCTGACACTTAGAAGTTTGAGCTAAGCAGCTGGGGGCTAACCGAGCTGGTTAACCAGGGGCTCTAACAATGGGGAGTCCCAAGGGTGCCCTGAGCCCCGGGCGCGGCAGCCCCCGCACCCCAACCAAGAGCCCCCTTGGCCGGAATGCATTCACACCCGATCATCCCTCTGAGGAACTCGACCTGTCCAGCGAACTTCTCGAACGCGTCTCGAGGATGACGTCAGCGGCGCCGTCCTCTCAGGGATCATCTGCAGCGGGAACCCCCACAAGAGCCGCTAACCATCAGCTTGTACAAGAGGGGTTGAAACGGACAAGGAGTGAGAGGTTAGGATACCTGGTTAGCGAGGGGTTAGCGCGGTTTAGCGAGGTGGTTACGGACGGGCCGTTTCCTGGGGTGGTGGTTCTGGGGCTGGCGGTGGCGCTAGGTGTAGAGTGGCTGCGGAGGATGCCCATCTTTCCTGTGTTCGCAGTGTGCTACATCATTTGGGGGGTAAGTTTCTCAAACTGATGACCCCCTTGAAATAATTTGCTTGCTTGACAATGTTTCACTGGAAAGCCTGCCCCTTTTTCCAGTCTTTGAGGCGTACTACATGGTTCACTCAGTTAGTTTTTCAGGGCTTCTTGGACCCCTTGCAATGGATTGATTGTCACAGCTTTGTCAAGAGACTGCTGATCAATTTTCAGGCAGTGTTTGGAGTACGTTACACCCTTTGGAAGAGTGGATCTGGGCCCTTATATGGGGATGGGGCTCCTCAACATGACACTATCTGCCCTGTTGATGGACAGAGATGCCTGAATGCAGTCATCAGGGGGAGCTAGTCCAGCTTCCACTCTGTCATGACCACAAAACAGAGCCCTTTGAAACAGAAAATGAACATAAATGTTAGCTGCAATCAGCACAACTTACAGTTTTGACCTCTCCTCCTTAAGTTGACTCTGTAATTGAATGAAGCGAAATAACTGTGAGCTTAATAATACCCCATGGGTGGTTGCAGATAGCGCAAAAGCGCACGAAGGAACAAGTCCAAAAAGCTCGGAGGCAATGGGAGCTTGAAATGGCAGAGACAAAGGTAAGAAAGCGTTCCTGGAAGTGTGGGCACCATGTAAACTTTGAAAACGGACGTAGCTTTTTGAACCATGTCGAGTCTGCAAGATCAGGAGCATTATCAGGGCTAGCGCAATCCTTGAGTGAAAGGCTTCGAGGAGTAGAAGAGCCTTCGGAAGCCCAACGTTCCAGCAAACATCATTTCTGGATGAAGACTAGGCTTTACGAACATCAATGATAAAGCGTAATGTCCAAACACTTTGCAAAGATTCATCTGAACTGCGAAAGCTAGGAAGTAATTCGTTTTTGTCGACGCCATGGGCACCGACAGACAACGGGATAATTGTGTCCCAGGCGGAGACGGTGCTCGAGTCGGTGGACTGGCTCAACTGCCTCCTCCGGATACTGTGGCGAAACGTGTACGAGCCCAAGTTCGCCCTGCAGCTGTGCAACGTGCTGCAGAAGAAGCTCAGCAAGAGCCGGCCCAAATTCATGGTGAGCCCTTCGCTTTGACACGACGATATGCGCAGCTCAGCAGAATGGAAGCATTCAAAGCCCCCTGGCTTCTTTGGAAGTATCATTTTGGGCTGGACGCATGAACGTCGATCCTGTAGAAACCTTTTTGTGTTCCCTCTACCAACTGCCTTCTTAAAAAGTCAAATGCGAATGCACGACATTTTTGAACCGAGAGTTTCTTCTGCTTCGTCAGGGCAACACGTGTCGTCTTTCGGGGCCACCAATAACTTTCAACCATCTTACCCGCTGACTAGACGTTTGGAAACATACATCAAGCTTCTTCTCTTTGTCATCCAGCAAACTTTAGAATCACACACTTTGCGCTGGGCACGGCTCCCCCGGTGTTCGGCACCACCAGGATCGTGCGGCACGTGGAGATCAGGCCATACTTCATCTTCCGTCAGCGCTCTTTAAGCGAATCCCAAATATTTTGAGTATTGAAATGCACGTATGACAACGGTTTTAAGCTTCAGCGGTATCTCGTGCAGCAAACGCTGGAGTTCACGCACTTTGCGCTGGGGACGGCGCCCCCGGTGTTTGGCCCCGCCAAGATCGTGCGGCACATGGGCGATCAGGCGCTGGACATCGACTTTGCATTCCACTCGGAGCACCCGGAAGTCGTTATCCAATCACGCATGCAACTCGGGACGCTGTTCTACGTGCCCGGGTCGTTCAGCTCGACGATCAAAGTTACCAGCTTGAAGATCAGCGGAAAGGTGAGGAAACAAAGACGACATGATGAGGGGGAAACGTTGGGGAATCACTGAAGGGCCCTTGATTATCTCGTGGAAGCGGAGGACGCTGTTCTACGCACCTGGTCGTTCAGGTCGTCGATCAGTGTCACCAGCTTGAGGTTCAGCGGCAAGGTGAGGACAGAAATGAAGGGGGCAAAATGACGAGGCACGTAATTCGGCTCGAGCTTTTCAAGAAGAGTCCATCGTTCATGCGGTCTCGCAGGGCGTCACCCTCTATTGCTCCTTCAGACCTCTGCTGAGCGCAGCGATCTTCCTTTCCCCGCAATTGTCGAGAATGTGCGCCCAGCTCCGTTGGCAAGCCCGAACCCTCTTCCTAGCCTAAGGCTTAGGACCAGAAAACACTTTTCATCCGCACACCTCGGTTCTGTTGGCATTCCCGACTATGGAAGCTCCAGCGGCTTCAAAAACCGATTACTCGGCTCTTATCACGGGCTTTCCATATGCAGCTGCGGGTCCGTCCTTTTCCGGCGGAACGCGTGCTGCTGGTGTCGTTCACGGGCGAGCCCAAGATGCACATCGACATCTCGCTCTGGGGCATCTCCATGAAGGCGCTGCAACCCATCTTGACCTGGCTGGTGAGGGCGGCAGGGGGATCCCCCTCGAAGCCTTTTGTATGCACAGGATTACCGAGACTTCTATTCTTTGTTTTTGGCACTGGTGAAGCTTAAAGTTTCAATACGGTACTCCCTCTGGACATCTCCGTGGAGGCGCTACCGCCCATCCTGACCAGGCTGTGATGGCCGCAGTGGTATCCCCCTCGATGCGCGATTCTCAAGGGTTCACTTTCCTTTCCTGTTGGCACTGGCGAAACCAAAACACAGAACGCCCTCTGGGGCACTTATGAAGGCGCTTCACCCCATTTCGGCCAGGCTGGTGAGGGCTCCCCCTCGCTGTGTTTCCGAGACGTGAAACCCCGAGAGCTTGCTTTCCTGTCCGTTCGCTCTTGCGAAAGGCTGAGCATCGTATTCAGTACTCAACTCTTTGAAGGCGCTTCACCCCATTTTGGCCTGGCTGGTGTGGCCCGCCCACGACGAATCCCTCTTGAAGCGTTGCTGCTTCATGACTGTTGAGGTTTCAGGCTGGACGATACTACGGGGTGAGGGCGCAACTGAAGGGTCCGAAATCGCAAAAGCAGTGGTTAGTCGTCGCACCCTGTTAGCCTGCTGAAGACCCTTTACGTGTGAGTGACGGGTCACTCGACCATTTGCAGACGGCACAGCTGAAGACGGCCATCGCGAAGCAGTGAATGGAGCCGCGGCGCTTCTGCTGTATCTTTCGCTCGGGCTTCGCTTGTCTCCCGACACGTCACCTTCATGCTTGCTGACGTTATCCGACCCCCCTGCAGACGTCAGAGCTGAAGACGGCCATCGCGAAGCAGTGGGCGGAGCCGCGGCGCTTTCGCTTGTGGTTCTTGTTTGGCTTCTCTTCGTGCTGACACGTGTCTCCATACTTGCTGACGTCAAGCATGCTTGCTGACGTCATCCGACCCCCCTGCAGACGTCAGAGCTGAAGACGGCGATCGCGAAGCAGTGGGTGGAGCCGCGGCGCTTCTGCCTGGAGCTGCGCGCGGGCGCGCTCCCGCACAAGGTGAAAAAGGCGATCAAGGCGCAGGGGGGGATGATGAAGGTCGCGGTTCTGCAAGTCCGGCTCTTCGACGGGCCCGCGACCGGGGCGCACGCGGGCGCGCAGAGTGAGCGTCCGAGCCGGACCGTCCAGATCGTTGTTGAAGTGTCCGGCTCTTTTGAGAGTTTGGGGCCGTTGTCCACATATTCAAGGCGGAAGAGAAAGCTGAGGTAGGGCTGAAAAGCAAAGGCCGAGGGCTGAGAACCGAAAGGTGAAAGTTGGAGGCTGGAAAGCAGAGGCTGAAATGCGAATGCTGAAAAGTGGAGCTGGAAAGAATGCTGGATACGGCGAAGGCTATCACCACAAAGACCGAGTCCAATGGGAGAACAGACCAGCCTGTTCTTGGTTTCTTCGATTTCGCGATAGTAAGCTCTAGCAATAGTAAGCTCCTACATTTACACTAAAAGCCTAACCCACAAATCACCTGCTCCGCACCCATCCCCAGCCTGAACCCCCAACTCAACCGCACCCGGCCCAAGCCGGGTTAGCTCACTATTGCTAAGGGTTATTACTACTAAACTGAAGATTTGTAGTCTGTTTTTGCAGACCCGGCGGAGATTCACCTGGTAATGAAGGTGCGGGGCGTCAAGGCGCGCTCCAAACTGGTGCTCAGCCGGCGAGAGGGGGGGGGCACGATTTACACTTCAGGGGGCACCCCCCTGGAACAGGAGTTCAAGCTGCCGGGCAACACGGGGGTAGCCACGGTGGGTCTTCCATTGGTAACTAGGGAGGAGAGCTTGCAGGCTATTTGTAGAATTTGAATTGTAGCCGCCTTTGGCTGGCACTGCAGCTCTGGGTGGAGGTTCGAGGCATGGAGCGGGAGTTGCGTGCACCATGCGAGGCGATTTTTTCTCCGTCGGTGCTTCGGTCAAATCCGGGCTTTCAGAAGCTGTTGAGGATCTTGAGCCGACCCGTTCGTGCTCTTAATTTGGACCGTGACCCCATAGAACCCTTGAACTTCGAAATCATGAAGCTGAATCTACCCGACGCAGCTTCGCCCTTGGTCTCATTCCGTTGTTTCCATCTGCGTCCGGCTTCAAATACGTGCTCGATCCCGCACAAAGCAAATGCATTTAAAAGATTCAATGAACTTTACCAAATCCAAGATAATTAAAGTCCTCAAACCACTATATCTCTGCCCGCAGCTCGTGTGCTCCTCGGCGCCCGAAAGCAATCTGCGCATGGCGCTCGACGCATGAAGCAGAACCCAGTGCGCTTCTAAACCCGGTACATAACCGCGTAAATCCTCAAACCCTAAAATTCAAAACATCAAAACCCTAACCCCTGTGCCGCAGCTCGTGTGCTCCTCGGCGGCCGACTTCAACCTGCGCCCAGCGCTAGGCGCGTGCAGCGTGCAGCACAAGTGGATGCACGACGGGGGCACCTGCTACTGGCACAACGGGAAGGAGAACAAGCCCCTCGCGACGCGCACGTTTGAGCCATACACCGCTTGGGTGCCGCTGCGAGACGCCGCGGGCGCGGAGGTCGGGGAGGCGTGCATATGGAGCAGCGCGTCCTGGTAAGTACTTGAGATTTTAGGGGTTAGGATTTTAGGGTGTTGGGTTTGCTCTTGCCGCGTGGACTTTGGAGCCGTACACGGCGTGGGTGCCCCTGCGGGACGCCACGGGCGCGGAGGTCGGGGAGGCGTGCATTTGAAGCAGCGCATCCTGGTGCGGGACTAGGCAGTCTTCTCTTCATTTGATTGAAAGCCTAACTTAAAAACCCAGAAATTTGAAACCTGGGACCCTGTACACATCTTCTTCACGTTTCCTTATTCTGATGATATCTGGTTGTGAATCGCTGCCTTTCTCCTTGATGATAAGCTTTTGCGTCGACCAAACATCGCTCGGATCTCGAGCCTTTCCTTTCGTGTACATGTACCGGACTGGCACGTACACTTTTCCTCAGCTTCGGATTTGACCGTACACTTACCTCAGAATTCGTTGAGCGATCGAAGCCACCCCACGGTGCGGAGGACCGCAAACGATCTGGCATAATTTCCGACCGATGCCGAAGCTTTGAAAGAGAAAACTGGCCTTTGCGGCTCCCTCACTCGCAATAGCCTGCCACTAACTTACGTCGATCCGCTCCGTCATTGCAGGTTCTACGGCGTGCCCGAAACAGCCGCCGTCGAGAGGACGATAGCCAGCACGTCGGCGACCGGGTCGACCGACCGGGACAAGATCGTACACGAGGCACTATGTGAGCGTGCTCTCGGGGACGCCTTTCCGTGCTCAGTTCTACATCTCATTCTAGCGCTGTAACCAGGCAGCGTTCCGAGCTTGAGGCATACTCAGACATCCGCGCTGTTGTTTCAGCCCGGTCGATCTGGTTGCCTGGAAGTGCGTGCCTAAAGGTTCCACCCCAAAACTCTTGAATGAGGTGCAGTATCTGAAGCCAAGCGATAGTTTTTAGCAATTTCCGTGCTGATGTAAGGGGCATGGAAGTCCTTACTCCATCCCGTGTACGGCTTTGCCGCGGTTGCTTCGGACAGCTCGGCTCGCCTTGAGGAGACTCTATGAGTCCTCGCAAAGCCTTCGTTGCCGGGATCCAGTCTTTTGCTAGCTGGAACCCGGTGGCTTTGAAACTCCCCCGGAACTTTTGCTACGTTAAAATGTGCAAACCACTTCTTAGACCATATCTGGCACTCTGCAGCGTCCCGTGACGGCTTCTGGATCATCACGCTGGTGGAGGCACGGAACCTGGTAGCGAAAGACTCCAACGGTGAGGGTTCCAACATTGCTCAAATTGTTCGGAACATCTGTTTGATGATACCCCGGCAGGAACCTTTTCTTTTACAGATTCCTGTTTCGACTCCTCGAGACAGGCAGATCTTGTTCCTGCTGACCAATGCTCCTTGGCCTATAGAAGCGTAGCTTTCGTCAATGTTCCCCGCTCCTTTTTTGGACAACGGACCCAAAGGAGTCGTTTGCACCAAAAAGGAAAGCTTTTTACTTGCGAAAGTCACGCTGCGCTAGTCCTCCGCTCTGCTGTGCGTCCAGGGAAGAGCGACCCGTACTGCAAGCTGCGAGTCGGACACAAGAAGAAGCTGAGTAAAGTGAAGAGCAAGACGCTTAGCCCCCGGTGGAACGAGACCTTCTCCTTCTCGCAGGTGCGCTTTCTCCTGTTATCCTTGTAACCCACAGTTTGTGGCGCTTTTGTTTGGATCCTGAGACTTTTCGGTCTGTGGTGTTTTTCTCCGAACCTCGGATTCCAAAGCGGATCTTGGAATAGTTGGCGCTTAGGGACCCAACTTTCTTCATCTGGTTCTCTCACGTGTTGAGGGACGAAGAGCGGATCTGAGTCGCTTTCTCGGCGCACGTCGGTCCTCAGAACCGCTTGTCGCCAGAATCGTGTGCAAACTTCTCCTCAATGTGTAGCGTGGTTCCCCGGGTCCATGAGTGGAGTCCGGCAGTCCCTTGTTTCTCAGGCGTCTCGCCGGATTTTGACCCTCTGAAATAACTTAGAAACCCCTGGACAAGGTTCACTTCTTCAAGAGCCAGCTTTGTGCTCATTGACTGCTTCCTGGCGACTTCTAAAAATTGCTTGCTTTTTTGTCGATCAAACTACGGCCCGTTGTAAGTAGTGCTGTCGTTTTCATTGATTTCCCACGGCTCGCTCCTCATTTTGATGTAATTGACAATCACTTTCTTTGTTCCGACAATACGGTCAGAGATCACTGTCTTTGTAGACACTAAATTTGAGCACACAAACAACTTGACCCGTGCTTTCTCTGTCCCGCCCTTTCTAACTCTTAAAAAACCCTACTAACCCCCACTAACCCCTGGCAGTTTCTAGCAACCCCTCTTAACCCCTAGTAACCCTTTTTCCAGGGCTCTCGCCTGGTGTTGACGTGCATGGACAAGGACTTCCTGGGCTTCGACAACGATTTCTTGGGCATCATCGACCTCGATCTAGTTCAGTTCAAGGACGGCGTGACGCACGATATCTGGCTGCCCCTCCAGGCCACCGAGTCGGGCGAAGTGCACCTGCGAATCATCTTCGAAAAGAGGTAGGACCGGCCCCCTCCGTTGTCAGTCGATATTGCTTTCTGATTGTCCGTTGAGGGCTAGCGGCTTTTGGTGTGGTTATGCTTCCGCAACCCCAGGATTAGCAACCCCGGGTCGACGGTTGATTTGAGAAAGAGATTGGGGACGCTGTTGGAAACGTTGACGCCGCGGGGTTGGCAGCTGGTGGGCCCGTCTCGATCAGTGACTAAAGGACAACAGATTCAAATTTTCGCTGAAATCTCGCCACGTCATCCGTTCCAACAGCGTCCCCCGGGCCTGATTGCATCATCTGAGTCTCGTCGACCCCGTTCACTCAACTGGGCGAGCAAAGCTCTTTCTGGCGGAAGCTGTACGAGGCGCATCTCTGATGACGGTGTTTAAGCTTGCTGCCCACGGTTTTCCTTTTCCTGATACGAGCCTCTACAGCAGATTGTATGACGTCCTTCGCTCAGCCTCAACCCGGCCAGCGCTTTCGTCGTCGCTCAATTGGAATTGCTGCGCTGATCTCCCCCCAGTCTCCCGGAAGAAACTTCAAGACAACTGATACCTACAAAAATCTTGAATCCGAATCTTGATATTGTAACGAGAAACTTCGACGTTTGTCCAGGCACGATACGAACAGCGCTTCCGGTTGGTCCCCCTTGAAATCCCTCCGCTGGACCGCCTCCCCAACGCTTCCGGGGGAAATGCACGCCAGCCGGATCTCCATCGTGCCGTCAGGGGGATCTCCCGACCTCCTAGACACCCCCGAGTACTCCCCCGGAGAAGACGGCCGGGAGAGCGAGGACGGGCGGGGGGATCCCCGTGGGGATCCCTCCGAGGCGGACGTGCCGGCGCCGCCGCTGTCCCCGGGCGCAGGTGAGACGACGTGACGTCATCGGATTGTTATTTTAGCGGGACGGGCAGGCTCAGGGCAGAGTCGACTCCGTCGATGGAGGGGTTTGAGTGCGGATCGGCATACAGGATTGTTCCCTGCTTTAGCGAGTGTATGCTGACGTGCACACACGTCACGATCCTCGTGCTGGGGGTTTGGCGAGCGGCGAGCCGTTGGCTTACGTGCCTCGGTGTGCAGCGGCAGCGCTTCTTCAACACACAGGAAAATGCAAAAAAGGCAAAAGGCGGCGCCCTTCTGCAGTAGTTTCTGACGTCTGCTGACGTGGCACGTTGCGCAGAGGCCACGTGGCGGGACGCGGAGGTGCTGGTGGTGACGCTGGTGGAGGCGAGCAACCTGATCATCCGCGACTTCATCATGAAGAAGAGCGACCCGTTCTGCAAGCTCAAGCTGGGGAAGCTGTCGCGCAAGAGCAGCGTCAAGTCCGGCAACCTTAACCCCATCTGGAACGAGGTGGGTTTCGAAACCTGATTGAAATCTGGTTTTTTCAAAAGCTGGGGAAGCTGTTGCGCAAGAGCAGCGTCAAGTCGGGCAATCTGAGCCCCATCTGGAACGAGGTGGGATTCGGCACTCAAATGACCGCTTAATACGCGCGTCTTAACCCTATCTCGAACGAGGTCGCTTTCGGGCAACATTTGACAGCTCGAAGTGAGTCTCAACCCTGGTTGAAACGAGGTGGGTTTAGCTGATGAGGTGACCGGTCGGATACTATCGAACTCGGAAGACAAGATCTGGTTTGCAGTAGCTGATATGAGTAGCCTTGGTGTAATAGATTCTTAGCATCTCTCCTAAAACCGGAGCACAAGTGGAAACGCTCATAGAGGGTAGAACAGGGCAAGTTCCAGGTTCTATCATCCAGTCTAAGTTGTTCAAGGTCTTTCTACTGTTCAGCAAAGGAGGGAGATTCCAGCATAGACGGATCTCCAAACCCTTGTCGCTGCTTGCTGTCTCCAGAATAAGCTGTTGTTCCACCTCAGGCGTTTGAGTTCATCATCGCCGAAGGGAAGCTCGACCCGGACGAGCCGCTCCTGCGGATCGAGTGCCGCGACAAGGACTTCTTCAGGTGAGCCCCCCGGCGGGGCAGCAACAAGACTGGTGCGCCCTACTTCGGACGTTTTCGATTTCCGACGGCCAAACCCGAAATTCGATTTTGGACTATTTGATCCAGTCTGCGGCCGCACGCGCGTGTGTGTAACAGGTGTCGTGCGCGGCTCGTCTCCCGGTGGTCTTTTCGACGCGACGTCGAAAAGAGACGCGCTCGAGCAGCCGCAGACTGGGTTAACTGAGTCCAAAATCAATGTTTGGGTTTGCCCGTCCGGAATCATAAACGTCCAAAGTAGGGCGCATTAGTTTTAGCAGGAGGGTTTCTTTGCAGTGAGACTAGTGTTAGGCTTGGAACGATTCGAGTCAAAAGCCGAAGGACAGGACATGATACAAAAGCCTGGATGACATTTTGCCGGGTGATAGCCGACGGGGCAGACTTGATAAGCGAGCGGAGCTGGCAGTCTGCCACAGTCTAAGTTTGTTCTGGAGTCTCCTGCCACTTCATTTGATCGTGCAGCTTTCGACTGAGTATCCAACTCTTTGCAAAGTTGGTATCAGAATGATTTCTTCGTCGAAGTGCTCGTCCGGCTGTTCTCGTCTTGCATAAGTGGAATTCACCCGCCAGGCTATTATTTTCCGCTCTCCTTCCGTGGGAGCGCGCTCACCGGCGGAGCCTCCGGAACGCCTTTTCCGTGCTGACACGTGGACGCGTGCTATTGGCAGCACGGACTTTTTGGGCGCCGCGCACATCGACCTGCGGGACCTGCGGCCGGGCGTCACGGAGGACATGTGGATGACGTTAGCGGGCGTCAAGCACGGGCGGATCCACGTCAGACTGCTGCTCAGAGTGAGCCACGTGACACGGGCTGACGTGGTCGTCTAACAACGACGAAAAGTTCGATGCGAAAAGATGTATTGGCGCAGTCCGCCGAAAGTCCCGGAATAACAGTCCAGCCCGAGAGCCGTTGTGTCTGCGGTGTGGGTGATACAAGCACTGCTGACTGAGCAGATTCTCCCTAACCGCGGCCTTCTGACATATCGCGCAGCTATGATTCCAACAGCTTCAACCGGAAGCACGAAGTAAACATCCGTGACGGTAAAGCCGCCAATGTTGGCTTTCAGGAAAGCAACGCAAATTAAACGTGAAAGCAAGAAGAGTGAGGGGGCAAAACAAACAGGGGTGTCTGTTTCCTCCTTTTGCAGCCTCCGCTTGACAATGCTGCGACGAAGCGGTTCGATCACCCGATCCAGCGCTTCGAGTCGCGCACTTCGTCACAGAGCTCCCTCAGAGACTCTGACCAAGAAGCGTGAAAGGCCATTATCTGCTGATTGTACGATTCGCCCACTTGAACTATTACGTGACAGTGCCAACACGACGACGTTCTTACGCCCCTGTTGATCTCAAGCCGTTTGTGCGATGCCGGCGGTTCAGATGTTTAACGGAGTTCTGGAGGCATGGGGCTTGTCCGCTAGGGAAGTCGCATTTGCCGCATCAGGGTAACGCAGGCGGACGGCGAGAAGAGAAACGTAGAGTGCCAGAGAGTACAAAGTGTAGAGCTCATGTGGGCGGCCCTGCGGGGGCGCTTCAAAGCCGGAGCTCAGTCGGGCGGGGCTACATTACTGCGAAACCGAACCCCAAGAATACCAACTTTCCAAGCTACAGACTCGTGCAAGGGGTTCGAGTCCGGAGCCGCTTTGAGTTTCCTTTTATCCGTTACAAACACATCAAAGGCGGTCACAATCAAATCAAAGCACGCGTCTTTCGTGCTCCCGGAGTGCAGGCAGAAGCCCGATCACACGCCAATGCTTCAAGGAAGTAGTGACTCGGTTCCTGCTCGGGCAGGCCCTCATAGCAATAAGTCTCGATATATATGTTGAGTTTGGCTTGTGTTGAGTTTGATCATGAGTGCCCGGGCTCAAACAGATCAAACTAAAAACCCATACCCAAAGTTTAACATGCTCCGCACCCGTACCCACCCTATAAACCCCCAAACCAACCCCACCCGTCCCCCGGCCGCATGACGTAACTCGACGTAGCCGTAACTCAAACATAAAAAACCGAGACTACTCTAATAGAGTATTATACTCGAAGGGGCTAAGTGCCCGCGATCACATGTTGCAGCATGTGGTGTAAGGATCTCGCACCTAGACCGACTTTACGTGGCAGATTGTACTGCACAGCGCCGCGCCTCAGGCAAAGCCGCGGGGGCCCATGCCTGCATCCCGCCCGCCGCATGGCAAGCTGGCTCGCCAGAAATGTGCGCGACGATTGAGCAACCCGGTCAAATGCATCGAGACGTACTACGTCGCATGACAAACGAGAGTGAAGAGGCTACGCAAATATTCCTTCACCTTTTTGTCTTTAATTTAAAATGATCGATATCCGGATAATCGTCTATTATAAGATGCAATCCGGATAATGCAAAGGTACTAATGCGTAACACCGTGGCCCGACGCAGGCTTGCGCGACCATACATCCATGATTCAATGGCTTAAGGAAGCGTGGCCGCCGGCGTATATAGTTCGGCTGCACCAGGCAAGTTACAGCTGATTAGTCATCGGAGCCATCATTGCATGAAAACGCGACGGTCACTGCACTAGACAGTTTCATGCATGACTTGCACGTGTGGTGGCGGCCGCCTAGGCCCGATCAACAAACAACGACCTAGTCAGAGCTTGAACGTCTCCCAGGTATGAAACGTTCTGAATATACAACCACGGTCGATCCATATGGACGCCAAACAGTTTGACGTTTCTAAGACTCCGCGTTCGGGACTGCCTATACCAGAGTCACCGGTGCTTTATGCGCGATCAACCAGGGCTACCTATGTTCCTGGAACCGGTGTGCTCATCGAGCCCCGGAAGCTCCTAAGCCAGGACGCATGCGTCATGCTTCCGTCATAGCTGAGAGCCAAAGGCTGCATCTGGCAGGTCGACAAGCAACGGACGACGACTTTCTCATCAACACTCTGTGCACCAACTTGTATAATTAGACGACTTTAAGTGCGACCTAACCCAGCCTTCCTGAAAGCACAGGAACTGGACACGTCACCCGGCTTACACCGTTAACCCCCGGTCCATCGCTCTGTAACCCGCAGAGCGCGTCTCTGCAAGGAATGCCTTACCGCCCAAGTAGGGTTAAGCTAACCCTGACCACGCAGGGCTTTGCTAACTCTGCTGGGCCGTTCCCCCGGGCTCACTAGCACGGGGGCTCGTGCTTGTAAACCAACCGGTGAGCGTTAACCGGGATTTCGTTAACCAACTCGGTGCACCGCTCCCCCGTCCGCATCCCGTCCGGAAGGCGGCACACGTCTCCGAGCCAGTCCAGAACTTCGGACACGCGGTCTGAGGAGACCTCGTGGAGCGCTGCGGAGATGACACGTGGCGGTCAGGAGATACGGCGATTGACTAGGAGGCACTGCGTTGGCAGATCCAACAAGGAAACGGATTGGGAAACTGTCTGACGCGAGATGCTGGGGGCATTTTGAATGACCTGCCACAATCGCTCACAAAAGAGCCCACTAGTCGCAAGGACCGCTAAATCCATGAGCAAGCTGTGAGCTTCTGACCTCTTGCCTCCTACTGCAAACAAGTTCAACTGCAAAGTCTGTCAATCCAACCCCTATGTCAGAGTCCAAATCATCTTTCAAGAACGGCAAGCCGATGAGAGGGTTTGGCTTTGGAGGTTTGTCGGGATTGCGCTCATGGGTAGCCCACATTCTCCACATAAAGAGTCCCCCCACTATCATACTTATAGGCGGATTCCGATTTGGAAAAATGACAAAATTCGTTTGGCGATCCAACTCTGAACATGACAGCTCCCGTTTGGCAAGCAACTTGCTCATAAGCTATCCGCAGCGAACATAAGAGCGCGCTCTTACCATACGCTTGTCGCAGGACTCGTTGCAGGTGATTGGCCGCTTCCCACGTGACCTCCAACTCCGCCCCCTTGAACAACTTTTCGTACCCCGGCTTTCTGCACGAAGAGGAAAAGGAGGGGCGATCAAAACCAGCCTAAACGACCTTCGAAAAGGAGTCCTTCTTCATTCTGCCGCCCTGCGAGATTGTTTTAACTCCGCCCCCTTGAACAACTTCTCGTACCCCGGCTTTCTGCAGGGAAGAAAGGGAGGGGCGCTGAGCATCACTTGAATGGCGACCCTTCACTAGAGGTTAGTCTCTAATTGGTCGCCCTGCGGAATGTTCAAGGTCGTCCCCTGGAAGAACTTTGAATACCCTAACGGCGACCGTTCCCTGTAAGTTCGTCTTCACTACGTCGCCCTGCGGAATCGTCCAAATCCGGCCCCTTGAACACTTTTTCGTACCCCGGCATCTGCTGGAACGAAGAAGGGGTGCTGGGAACGGCCTTTCCGTATAGTTCGTCTCTTAAACCATTCGCAAGAAACGTCTCTGCTTCGAGAGCTCGAAAGGAAGTTATCAAGAGCCTTCTTACACTATGCAGCGAGAGAGTGTGAACACTTTTGCCTTTCCTTTAATAAAAGACGTCGTTGGTGGCGAAACGAAGTTCGACGAGCTTCCACGAGCAAAGTGGAACGTGTATGCTTTTGACAGGCTTGCAAGGCTGACAGGCTGGAAGGGACCTTTCATTCAGTAAACAGTGACACCTCTTTTCCGTATTTGGAAAACCAGCGTCAAGGTGTCCCGGCTTTCTAGCTCTCAGAAAGGAGTAAGTCTTGCAGAAACTCGTCGAAGGAAGAGTAACGCGTAGGTATATTGGCTCCTCAAGAGCGACCATAATCAGACTCATAAAGAGCATAAGCCGATCGGCCGGACAAACGCAGATCCAAAAGAATCGCTTCTAGGAAGAACTTACCTGAGCAACGCGTTTGGACAATTCATAAACTCGTCCTCGTCCAGCCAACCTTGTGCTTTCAGCGCGTTGTGCAACTGCAAGAGAGGTACCGATCATCATGACATCGATCAACACGACTGTTCTCTGAGCATAAAGCATGATGCTACAGTGTTCTCGGCAGTATGTCTAGATCCCTATCTGTAGCTGCACTGACAGAGTGTCGCAGAAAGCGACAAGGACTGACACTCTGTGCATGACAATACGCTGCTTACAGTCAAAAACCAGCCTGCCACTTTCGGTTGATATCAGGTGTCCCAACTCCTCAAGCAATGCCCTAATTCCTTTTTAAGTTTCCTATTTCGTCTCTTCTTCTTCCCTTCCCCTCCTTCTTTTCATTTATTGAATCCCTTCTGAAAATCGAGGCAAAGACTCACAAGCCCGGCTAACGTGAGGCCCCTTGCCCATGTAACCCCAAGCATATCTAGGATCGTGAAAGATTCTCGGGGCCCTTAATCTCGCACCCAAGATGTTGTTTTCGACGGATGGTTCGATAGTCACTACAAAGGCCGAGAATCCAGTATATCGTCGATTTCCGCAAATCTCGCGCATAATGAATTGCAGACTGGCCGTGCAACATCTTGGTTGCGAAGTTAAGGGGTCCGAAATCCGAGAAATGCGAAAAGTGCGCAACCCGGAAACAGCTGAGAGCCCACCTTTTCGATGTCGGCTGCCGTCAGGTGCCTGCCCATGTGTTCGGACAGCCACTCCGTAGTGACGCGAGTCGGGTACACCTCCAGCAAACCGACCGTGACGTCACGTGACGTCAGCGACTCCATGGAGTGCTTCAGCAGGGAGTTGAGCTCGTGGTGGCGGGGCACTGCAAAGATTCAAAATTGTCAAAATTGCAGGTTTTCAGATTTGGTGTCAAGATTGTAGTACTTACTATTCTAGGGATTTCACGTTCCAAGATTTCAGGATATAAAGATTACTACAGGATCAAAACACAGGGAACCAAATGCTTGTGTAGCTAGCTACCGGAATCCAACTTTCGAAACCAACGAACATGACAGGATCACTCCTGAAGGAGCTTCCGATTTCGTCAAAAGCGAAGAACAAAAAACTTCCAGCTTTGCAGGCGCTTTTCAGGGAATTAAAAACTTCTCCATGAGGTGCTTGACCCCGTGCACCATTTCTCCGCTTGACCTTTGCCTTCCCCTCTGGCTAATCACGCGTTGAGCTACCCGCCCACTTCAACAAGAGGGGCCCAGATACAGCTCAAAGTTCTCACCAAACCAACACGATCCACACGGTCTCACAAAAAGCTCCTCTTCACCGCAGAAACGAGCCAACGGTCCGGAATCGTACAGAGAGAAACTTGGGCATCTCAGCAATAAGCTTCGGCCATTCACTGCGAACCACTCCCCGAACCAACATAACGGACACGTCAGCGCGAGAATCTCCTTTTCACCTTAAACCCCAAGATCCGAAAAGAAGCATTGGCCGCGTTAGCAAAAGTTTCAGTGACTCACTGTGAACAAACAACGAGGGCGGGTAGGGGGTGCCGTCGGCGCGCGGGTGCGAAGTGATCGCCTTGCCGTTTCCGGGGTGCATGTACAGCGCCTGCGCCGCGACGGGCGCCGCGTGGCTCAACATCTGCACGCCACGTGTCAGGGTCATTAGTTTAAAATGGAAAAGGGTATGAGGGAGATCGTCAGCCTTGCAGACATCCGACCTTCGGATAAGTTGAATAGCTACTGAGCGTGGGCCAAAACCACTGTCAGCTTTGACGTGGGCGGATCGAAACCTACTGTTTCGGCCGAACACCGTCGGATGCATTGCTGAAAGGTTAGAAGATCCACATGCCCTTTGGTTGAGAGAAGGAACCGAACTCTGTCAAAAACCTCCCGGCTGCGGAATGACAAACAAGCAACATGCAACCTGCTTCCTAGCTTGCATCAAGCTGCGACGATCCAAGAAGGCCAACAGCTCAAAAACAGGTCGACCACGTGGCAGGGTGTGGTTGGACGCTCACCGAGCATAAGCGGGCGCCCCCAGAGAAGCCGAGGCAGACGAGGGGAAGTGCGCTCAAGCCCTGCAGAGGAGGCGCGGGGTCAACGAGCGGCACTAAGCTACATCAACGTGCTTAAGTAAGAGCACTGTCGATGACATGAGCTAAGACGTAGATCGACGAAGGCTCTACCTGATGAAGTGGGTAGGGAAACGCAACCTTATTTCTGTGGATCATTGAAACAAAGGATCGAAAGAAAGCACATAGGCCAGTACAGGTCGATAGACCGTTCATCGTGCCCTATGCGAATATCCAGCTTCGCCGCTTAGCGGATGCTGGGTCCTTCCATGGGAGTGAACGACTGCTCAAGCGCCCGCGAACCATCAACCGACGCCCGCACTCCAAATGAAATCTAGCTATGCATTGTAGAATCGTTCAAGGTCTCAGGAACCCCCGCAAACCGTTACAGATGGCACTTGACAAAAGGGAGCAGCCAGTGCTTTCGACGGCTGCTAGGACCAAGGCAGAGCCTTCTGTGTGCTTGCCGCCCCTCTTAACAACAACTTCCGCTGAACTTGATGCAGCTATTCCTTCCTCTGCTGGCTCCCGGGCCCCAACATTCACTTTGCCATTGACCGCACATCAAAGGGATCCCTCGGATTGCTTATGGGCCCCGTGCCATTCTAACATGGGTAATCCGACCTCTCTCCGATTACTTCGCAGCCGATTGCCATCTTTCGTTTAGCCGGTTACAAAAAGCAACCAACAGATCTCTTTAGCTCCCCTTCCTTGCACGTTTCGCTGCCCAGTTCTTCCCCGTTAAGAAGCCATCCGTGGGTAGGATCCGTCATACTCAGGCTCAAATATGCTCACTTTTGCTGAAGAATGCTTGAAGGCTTGACAGCCTTGTTCACGGACTCCCGATCGCAAAGAAACCCTGAAGCAATTTCGAGGAGCCCAAAAGGGAGCCCGATACTTTTCCGTACTCTAAGAGTACCTATGATAGCCAGGGGCCCTTTGGCACTCATTCCGAAAGACATAAGCAGACGCACATAAGCGCTCCCCCCAGCTCACCTCGCGCGCCCGCCACTCCTCGAGCACCGCCGCCACCACGCTGACGTCAGCGTTCTTGTACAGCGGCCACCGGTTGTCCCACGTCAGCTCCTTGTCGTTGTACGGGATCTCCCGGCTCCAGCGCCCGTTGTCGATCGTCACGACTACGTAACCGTGTCGGAGCGCAGCTTCCGTGATGCCAACGGCAGGAGGGGACCTATACAGAAACTCAGATATCTGTGTTGGATATTTGTATGCTTTTTCGTATCCAAGATTCTCAATTGTCAAGCCCCGTTGTCGATCGTAAGGACTACGTAGCTGTGCCGCAGCGCAGCTTCCGTGATGCCGACCGCAGGTGGAGACCTGCACGAATTCCGTTACGATTTCAGGTCAAGTCTTAACCCCTAAAGTAACCCGACTTGTCCTACGGGCTCCGACCTAGCTCGACCTGGCTGTATCTCAACCTGAAAACGATACCACTCTGCCCACAGAATTGGGGTCCAAGTTCGAAGGACAAATGCATGAGTAAATATAATTATAAGGTCATCGCTATGGGGTGGAAAGGGTTAGTTGGGGAAGTAGGATGGATATGGGTGCTGGTCAATCTCCGGGTTAAGTATGATGGGTTTGATCGAGGCTCATCATATTTTTGCATTTTTATCTTTGCTCTTATCACCTCCTTAACGAACTATAGAATCTAGAAGACCACAATGAACGCCATGAGTTGCCAGCTGTCAAAACACTGTCGTTGATCAACCTTGCCATTACAGGAGAACCAAACAAACGTTGACATTTCAATCTCCAGATCCTGTTACCCCCTAAACCACAAAAGCTCGGAACCTCACCCAGAACACTCGGGGCACGTGCTAGATTGCAGCCACCAAGAATCCGCTTGCTCGTTCCTTCCTTGCGCGAGAAGGATCACTCTTGTGGGCTCCCCAGGAGGCACCTGGAGGGAACGACATCACACATCACGTCATCTTTCTGCACCCACAAGTACTGTCCTCTGTGCTGCTCTGAGTCACGGTTATCATAACAAACAGCTTCCTCTGGTTTTCCTCAAGAGATCTGAGATTTGAAATCTGAAGATCACAAAAGAAACGGAATAAAGAAAAGTTGGGAAGCGAGAGGAAGTGGATGATGGTGGGAGAAGATTTGAAATGATTACTTTGCAACAGTTGACCCTAGAAGATTTCCAGCCCAGCTGACATTTGAAATGGTGAAGTTTAGTGGGCTCTGTGAATGGTATGTTCCGGTTGATTTGAGAACCTGTAGTGTATTGCGACAGCTGGCCACCTTGCCACAGCTAGTGCCCCATATTTGACCTGTTCAAGCTGTAAATGACAACGTCTTCTCTGTGCATAATGCTTCATTAAAACAGTGGTCGCATGATTTGCAACACTCTGTTTGAGCAACAAAGGTAGCAACTGAGATTGACATGTGGAGTGCAGCTTGCTCTGCTATATCAGAAGTGGCTTGAAACGTTGCCCTTACTAGTAGATCTACTCAAACTCGCTGGTGCACTCGCTGACGCTTCTTACAGTGACAATTTGAACTGAGCTCCCAAAACCTCACTAGCGCGCAGGTATTTCAATCAAAAGGTGTGAGGTTGAGCTGAGATTGTCTTTGGCTGTGGTGTGCCAACATATCAAACAAAGGCCACTCAAATGCCCCTGGCGTTGAACGCCCGACGATCACATTGCCAGCCGCTTGTTTGATTGTTCAGCTCTTCTTCGTCAAATGCGATTGTGTGTCGCTGACTTCAGCTGCGGAAAAATGCCCTACGCTGGACGATGTATGCAAATGTGCCCAAACATTTCTATCCAGCGAGGAAATGCTCAATTATGATTAGAGGCTAATAACGTTCTGGGCTGCAGTCAGAACTCCTGGGCTTCCTTGCCTTCTCTTTCCAGCTGAAGCAACGCACAGCAACGACGGAAAATTGCAGCTAGCACAGGCTTTACGAGCCCACTGGTCAAACCATTCAGCGCTAGAGCCCATCGAGCTAACAACCTCAAAATTACACACACATCCCACCTGCTGACTTACGAAATGCCGTCATGTCAACCCCTGAAAACTTGAGCAATTATTTGCCCACCAGGAAGCAAGCCTGTGTGCATGATCTTGGATCTCTGAGGGATCCCTTCTACAGAAGCCCACGACCATCAGGACAAGGCGCCCCAAGCCTGTCAACTGGGAAAGCAAAAACCGGAGTGCCCCAACTGTGATGATTGTGCAATGACGCCAGCAAAAACCAGAACCTTGCCATTCTAGAAGGAAGTGGTCGTGGGAACTACATCGGCACCTGCTAAGATACGGCCAACATTGTGCATAATGAAATAGCTCACAATCACATAAGCCCCCTCACGCACCAAAAGCAAAGGGTTTTTGCATCGAAGGTTCAGAAGCATGCTCACCTGCCAAATCACGTCCCGCCCCTCGATCGTCTCCACCGCAGGTGTGCTCACGAGCCTCTCCCACTGGTCCTGCTCGCCCCCCCCCTCCGGCAGTTGGCCACTCACCCCCCCTTTCTGCGCAAATTTTCCAGCGTCCGACACCACGAGATCGTCCCCCCCCTCGAGCTCTGTTTCCGCATCCCCAAACCCTGCTGCCCAGAAATCGTCGAGCCCAGCATTCTCAATTTCCCTAATCGGGGGGTGTTTCTTCTCCCCCCCCCCTCGTGGCCCCATCGTCCGCCCCCAGCTCATCGTTTCTCGCGCCCCCCCCGGAACTTTCTGGCCGGTGCCCACTTTTCCCTGCTTCGCCGCCCCCCCAAACACGAGAAGCTGGGTCCTGTCGGCGAGCCCCACCCTGCCAGGGTGGAAATGCGGCCGGAGGCGCGCCACCTCCATGCAGGTTACGGTGACCGTGGTTATGATAACTAGGGCTAACAGAATGAATTTTGGGGAGCAGAGGTGGAGGCCATGTGAGGCCTTGAGCAGTCGCACCGTCATGGCGGCGGCGAGAGGCAGTGACACGGGGCGGCGCAGCTTGGACTTGGTTTTCCGGGTCGCGAAGCGGGGGTTAAGCGCGGGCGAGGACGAATGCCTCATGGCTGACGGGGGTGGGGAAATTGTGGGCGGGCCTCCGTAACAGCATTTTAAAATGGGCTCTCGCCACCCCCAAAATTCACCTCTTTTCACGTTTCTAAAGGCAGTTTACCCAGCAGAAAATAAGTTTACCTCGCGCGTGACAACCTCAAGAAAACGCCTTGCGCGCCCCTTTCAGAAAGCTCTGGTGGTGCCACCTTTGGTCTTGCAATTCCTTCAAGAACAGGACCTTCGTTCGTTTCAGCTTCATCCTCCGCACTAAGAGTTGAGGGCGTTCGCTTCAATTTCAAGCACTTTAAAACAGAATAGATACTACGGTAGCTAGAAGCTAGGGCCAGAATTCACCAGCACCATGCGTCAGCTGAGTGGCTTGGCGCTCATGATTGTGCAGAGCCTGTGCCCAGATCCTAAGCGTAGGATACCTATCTGCCACCTGTTGCAAAGGCTCTTTCGAAGCCCACTGCGGCCTGCCCACTTTCTCATGCAAAGCTCGTGCATGAAAGTCGTTATCCTAAGTTTTTGGCCCCTTCGCCGTGCAGCCTAGGACCCCTACCTAGCTACCTATAGGCTATACCAGCAGAGTGTGCATCATCAGCCCGCCTTTGTGCATAGTCCAGCCATTGACAGAGAAGACGACCCGAGCACTGGGCCGGGGGACAAGCTCTGACATGCTTTGAAACCGTCGATGGGATTTCCTGAGTGCTTTCAGGCGATCTCAGCCATCCGATTATACGGACCGAGGCTTTCAGCAGCAAAGACGCACCAAGTGAGAAGGCCGGCATTTCGCCTGCCTTATTTCTGACATGAACCCGCGTGGCTTATTTCGACCAGTGAAAACGATGGAAGAAGCATTTCGCGCGTGCGGGCTCTGTCGTCATCGCGAGTGAACGAGTCGGGGCTCGGAGGGTCAATAATGCATTTGTGATGCTCGTAAGGAGACGTACCGGTCGTAGAAGCACTCTGAGTTCTGAGGCCTAAAAGTCGTTTTTCGCAAACTCGGCGCCGGTATCTACGGTCTAACCACGGGGATCCATGTGGTTACCGGTACTTTCCTTGATTTTCGCTATACGTGTTACAAAGCTTGTGCCTAACCGGCGGTGAAGGCATCGACGGTCAACTCGAGGAGCCCTGCTGGTGCCCAGCCGGCAGTGACATCGTCGAATTGTGGTCGATTTAACCACGGTCACTGACAATGATGGTTTTAACACCGAATACGCCGGGGCCGGCTTTACAGGAGGCGCAAATTTAGTTTCGAAACTTTAGAAACTAATCACCGTCGTCACACCAAAACTTAGGCCAGGGCTTCAGAACAAGGGATGCTGATTACGGTGTCTACACTCGTGCGGGTAGAATAATTAGGAGGCGGTACCCTTGGTACCGTTCGGTCGTTGACTTTGGCGATTTGTCCCGGTATCGAAGGATAAGGAAGTTCTTCCGGACCGTCCGATAGAGATTACAAGACGATCGAACGGCGTTGAGCATCCAACACACATGGGTATGGGTACTGAGTACGGTACTTGGGTTCGATTACCGTCACGTGCCTGGAGAGCGGCCGCCTGGACGCTGCGCAGCGTGTGCACTGTGATTGGCACTCAGTGTGCAGCACTGGCAACGACATTTTTGAGAGAAGAGAGACCAACTTGCATGCACTATTTGCGGTATCGTACCCATCCATGTGTGCCAGTGCCTGCCCTTTTCAATTGTGGAGCTTTTATGTAAAATGCATGGCTTTTACATGTCTGTCTTCACAGTCTGGTTACCTATATCCATTCATCGGCATTCGAAGTGCCAGATTTTGGGCAACCGAAATCTTGCACATAATTGAGCAATCTCAATCTGTCAGAAGGCGCAATCGAACCTCAAATTCGCATGAGTGCATCTGCATGCTGCCCATGCATGCATGAGACAGGTGCCGTACGAATCCCTGTTTTGCACCTCTGACATTGAATTCGGAAGTTGTTGTGATTCTCGAAGTCCTTCTCAAAGGTATGTTTTTGAGAGAAGATTTCGCTATTGCACGTAGCTTAGTACATAGGCATCATGGTTTCTCACTTTGACTGTACATGTTGAGCATTCCCGACACCGTCTAACCTCAACTCATTACGCCACAGAAGACAAACCTTGGATTTCTAGAGCTAGCCGAAATCTGGCGACATTAAGCTAGATACATGGAAAGGCGCGCAACTGTCTGACGAACAAGAGACGATCAAGAGGCCATACATGCGCTGCAAAGAAGACGTGAGCAATCCGCCACAATCCTTTCGTGCTGGCGGATATTTATCAAAGTTGCCCATATCCGGTCAAATGCTTTCCCATCCGGAAGTGCCGCTGTCCGAGTATTGTGCCCCATTTGGGACTAAATGGAGCTTGCGCCCATCCACAAAGCTATTCCAATAGTCATTTCATATTTGTCTTGCTATTTGTCTAGTCAAAGTACATAGCTCAAGATCTCCTGACATGGTACTAACCATTCGACAACCAAGACCCTACTTCGAGCGCGTGCATATGCGAACCTAAAATACAGCTCCGGAGAATCGTTTACGACTCCTGGCTCGTAAAGCGCGCCTATGGGCGCATTCTCATCATCCTTCCGGCCCGGACTCGTAGGTGCAGTAGCACGCAGGCAGCGCAGATGTAAATGCCCGCCATCGCAGCCAGAATGCCCAGATCCCGGCCCAGTGTGTTGCGGCTCAGACCGAGCTGGTCCAAAAAGCTATCCCCTGCAATGCAGCAAGAAAGTCCCTTCGTTTGATTGACATGATTCGCGAACATCACAGTTGAGCGTCGAAGAAAATGCAGTGACCGTGGCTCGTCAGCTTGCGGTTGTTTGCTGCCCCGTTTGTTTTTGAGTATTGCCAGCCACGTTTGCATGTCGATAAGCATCCGCACACACAATCTGAGACTCAGGTCGGAAAGCCTGACGCGCAGAGGGAAACGTAAATATAATGCCAAGCATCATCTCAGTTGCGGCCATATACGATGCTCAATTCTTCAATGTTCCCTAATGATTCACACCTGATTCGTCAAGGTGCTTCGACGGTGCATAAAAAGCTGAAAGGTGGGGACTTGGGATACCGCAGCGGAAACGTATTGTACAAAAGCGACCGAGCCTCTTTGAAGGTTGGTGCAAAGAACACCAATTCAACAGAATGTGAACGCGGAAAGAGTCCGACAATCAAGCACACAATTATAGAAGGTTTAAAGATGACAGGCCGACGGGAAATCTCCGATTCATGCTTTCATGCTTGGCCGAAAAGGTTGAAAAGAGACATGCGCGGCTGCTCACATCATTCACATCATTCGGCTTTTCCAAGAACGACTTCAAAGACATAGAGGGCGTCACTCTGATAATCAGGACAGCAACAGCAGGGAGGGTGACGTCAGCGCCCACCTTTCAGCGACAGGACGGGGCCTATTCCCACCGTCCGGAACGAGAACGTCAGCCCGTGGAGCTCGTTGATCATGAGCGCCTCAAATGCGTACGTCACGAATGATATTTTGGGCAGCCACCTCAGCGCCGGGGGGATGCTTTCGCCGTTCACCAGGAACCCCCCGAAGCAGAGGAAAACGAGGATTGCAACTAGAGCGACGACGTTGGCGATCGCGACGGACGGCACGGCCAGGCTGACGAGGACGCACAGCGAGGATGACGTCACGCTGACGAGGAAGAGGACGGCGAGGAAGACGCCGAAGCGGCCGCCGTCGGTGCGCAGGCCCATCATGAAGTAGAGGATGCTGCGAGCAGAAACAGGATTCAGGAAATCGGGTTTAGGCGAGGTTTCAGAGGGATATTCCAGGCATGCAGGCTTGCGGAGCCAGAAAAAAAGGAAAGAAAGTAGTACGTGACCGATTCATTCTGTAAAGAGCAACATATGATTCGTCCGGGATTTCCAAGATCTGGACAAGCGCATCCAATGAGTAAGACAAGTTCGTGAAAAATGCAATGGAAGTAGATGAAGCGCAAGCCAAGTGGTTGAGTAAACGTTCTTCGTTCTGGATTAGTGAACCTTCAAAGCTAAGGTTCAGCATGACTCCTCGTATTTGAGCAGCGCCTCAGACCTGTAGTGACGGTACAATGGAGAACAAAAGGTTGGAAAATCAAGAAGAACGGGTTCGTTAGGATCGACGGACAATCCTAACAGCTTCGCAGGGCTTTGCTAGATTGAACTTGGAAGAGGGACCGAGGCAGCATTCGAAGAAGACCCCAATTATCAGCACGGAGCTTAGAGCAGAGCTAAGTACATCTCGCGGAGCTCAGACTAGGGTTCATCTGAACATTGCGGAGTTAACTGAACAATCTAGAGCAGGATAAGGAGACTCTCCTGAACTCACGTGCCATTAATGAGGGATGGATCATGGCAGGTTCCGCAGCAGCAGCCAGTCGAGGGAGACCTTGGGGACGAAGAACGCGATCGAGAAGTTAAAAGACGAAAGAGAAATGGCCGGACGACGAGGATCTTCCCGGACTCACGTGCCATAGATGAGCGACGGCAGGATCCGCAGCAGCAGCCAATCGAGGGAGACCTTGGGGACGAAGAACGCGAGCGGGGAGTAGAAGCGGCCGGCACCCTCGCTGACGAAGATCGCGCGCTCCGAGATGAAGGCTTCCAGCGCGCTCGTGCTGCAGAAGATGGGGGTCCGAGACTCACAAACGATCACAGAGCAGATGGGTTGACAGTACAACGTTTCAGTGACTGAATTGTGGCCCCTTCCGACGCCAAAGATTCCATCACAGGGTCGTTGGGTGACTTTGCAGAATTGGGGTAGCGAGAGATAAAAGTTTAAGCGATCATTACCGCTTAACATGTCAGAATTTCTGTTGGGCGCATGAGTCACTTCTAGTCACCGAATCCGAATATCGGCACGGTAGAAAGGAAGAGAGAAAGCATATTTGCAGAAATATCATTATTGCCCATGAACATAACACGGATCCGAAGGTTCAAAGATGAAGAATGGCCGATCGGCTTCAAACAGAAAGTGCAAGACAAGACAGCGATGAAGGGCACTTGCAGAAATGCATTCAAGAGAGGTGAACCTAGCTTGCTTAAGAATGAAGGATTGACCACGAAAGGAAGACAAAGGGGACTTTTGCGAGGCCAAGTTTTCGTCATTCATTTACCTCGAGAGCGCTAGGAAGACAATCGTGAAGTAGAACGCCCCGGCCCTGTTTTGGAACCCGGCCAGGTTCCCGCTAACCTGGTAGTAAACCCCACCCACCAGCAGCCCGAGAATGACGCTGACCACCACGTGGGTTAGGAGCAAACCCGGGTTACGGAACACGTTTAGCAGCTCGCGTTTGTACAAGACTAGCAACTGGGTCACGAAGGACCGCCGCAAATTTGGGTCACGGCGTTTGCGTTTTGGCGTGCTTTGCGCTGCTTGCGGTTTGCTTGCTCTGCTGCTCTCTGCCGCGTGCGGCTGGCTGACTGCACCTATCTTATCCTTGGTATGGTGGGTGAACCCGTTAGGGCTCGGGGCTAACCTTCCCGGGTTAGGCGCAGGGTTCTCCGGGTCGGCTTGCGCACTCTCGGAGGTTTCACCGTAAGCGCAAGCTGCTAATGGATCCTCATTTAAAGATGCGGACGAGGTTTCGGACAGGGGTTTCGCGGGGTTTTCGGACACGTCGTCTGCGCTAACGATGCTGAGCATATGGTCTGGGAAAGTGCGGTTTGGGGGGCAGGGTCGCCCGATCGCCTCGAAGTAGCGGGGGAGACCGTCGCGAGGTCCGCAGTACATCTGGTGTCCGGATGCGGACAGCAGCAGGATCTGCGGACAGCAAACCCACGGTCGTCGCAACAAGAAGTCCGTCTCATTGCCGTTTAAAACGACTCGAGAGTAAATCCGGAAGTTTGTCAAGATTTTTGGCGATGCAAGAAGAACCGAGCAACAGGCGAGTTTCCGTGTAGCAAACAAACGAGGTTGTGCACCCCAGCTGATTTCGGTACCCAGTGTTTCAGAGTCTTAGGGTCATAAGGTACTAAAAACGCGAGCACGGGCATGCTTCCTTTTGTCCTTTGTTTAGCGCACAGTACCAAGCAGACTTCGAACAAGGGAGAACCGAGCAGAGCGTGCGTGACCAAGGAAAGGAAACCGAACGACAGGACTCTGAGGGGCTTTCGACGTCGAAGCATACCGTCTTTCAATACATTGGGGAAAGAAGAAGCTTTGTCAGGGGCAGAAATTACTCGCCTGGTCTAGTTGCTCGAAGGCCTCCTGCGACGGCTGGTGCACGCTCAGGATGACTGTCTTCCCAGTGCGCGCAATCGCGTGCAGTTGTTGGAGCAGCTTGAGGGCCCTGTCAAGGAGGGGTCAGAGTTTTGAGCGCGCTATCTGGCGGCTTGCAGACGTTCGCCCGGCTGTTGACAGGGCCTTTGGAGCGATCGGCGCATTTCCAGCAGAATGCCACGGAGACCCGTGTCAAACGTTTCAGGTCGTACACCTGCTTAACGGGTCAGAGTCTTTGCCCGCTGTACGTGAACTTTTACCAGCGCAAGAGCAGTGATGCGAACCTAGGATAAGACGACCCAACTTCTCGAGTGTGGCCGTCAGATCCTTCCTATTGTATGCAGCAATCTGCATCTAAGCAGCCCCGTATGATCATATGCAACATGGTGCAACATAAAGCTGGGACGTCAGCAACTCTCAACAAGGTTGCTAGGAGCTGCCATTACGCAATGTTTCATGCTTAAAACTACTTGACATTCAGAAACAACTCTAGATGCAACCCGTAGGCGGAGCGATCAGTCCACCTTCTCCAATCCTACCAGACGACTGCAAGGCTCCGACCGACCTACTGTCCTCTCCCTGTGATTCTTATTACACCCTTACCTGTGGCTGTCCAGCCCTGACGTCGGCTCGTCCATCAGCAGGACGTCACAGTCCGTCACGAGCTCCATCCCGATGCGCACCCGCCGGCGCTCGCCGCCGCTGAGGCCCCGTCCGCCCAGAAGGCTCCCTATGCGGCTGTGCTGGACCTGTACGTACGAGTCACGGCTCGATTTACGGGGCCTTTATCGACTCGGCCCTTTCAAAAGATGTCTGCTCTTAGGCTTGCAGTAACTCCGAGGGAAACGATGGAGGGACATTCTGAGCTCGGAATGATTTAGGAATAATAAGCGGCAGGTATGATAAGCTCGCCAGCCTGGGACGGGTGGGGTTAGTTTGGGGGTTAGGGTGGGTACGGGTACGGAGCACGCAGATGGTTGGGTTAGGATTTGAATGTATGTTGGAGCTTATAATACCTGGCTCATATTATTCCTAAGATGGTCCGTCCTGACATTCTGGGCTGTCCGCAACTTGCACAGTAACGCTATCTCTCAAAGTGCTGTACTCTGGTGCCAACCGTATTGCAACATTCTCGACCAGTCCAAGCTCCTCACTGGTTCTCCGCTATGCGATGCAGCCTAAGCACACCGTGATAAGGACAGGTGTAAGTCCCGAGTTATTCCTATGACGGTCAAAGAAACGACAATTTGACTAGGACGGAAGGAGATGACGTAAAATTTCAATGCACAACCTGCGGGTTTAGATAGTGGCTAGAAGGTTCACTCACTGGAGACAAGCCCAGAAGGGCGACCGTTGACTCGACTCGTTTCCGCTTGAGTTCCGTTGGCATGAAGGCTGGAAGCCGCAGCTCGGCGGAATAGGCGATAGACTCCTGGGCGGTGAGGGTGCCGTACAGAAGGTCGTCCTGTGCGCAGAAAGACGAGGGTTAAGCACGCGGGTTTGGTGGTAAAAGTCAAGAGAATGTCTTAGAAAAACTTCAAAAGGGAGGTTCGTGAAGGCGGGGTTGTTGGAAGGAGGGTTTAGAAGGAGGGTTGGGGAGCACCCAGCACGAAGAAGAAGAGGAACGGAGCAACAAAGGACAAGGAGAGGGGAATCTGCCAGATAGACTTGGAAGATGCAGAACCCTGATTGCGCAGCGGAGAGATCCCGGAGAAGGTCCCACAACAATGTCTACGGTCAACCGAGAAAGAGAGGTTCACGTTTAGCGAAGGGACGCCAGGAGGTGTACTGGTCGGTGGACTCTGCTCCGTCTACCAGAACGCTTTCGGTCCCAAAACGCGGCCGATCGGTCGCAATTGAATTGGAAAGAATCAAGGCAACTTGTCGACATCCTCTATGCGGGACGGGGAACAGTTCGTAGCCGACGTGCCTGCGGCAATAGCGACGTCAGGAGCCGGTAATCGTCGTTCCGTTCCTTTCCGTCCAGCAGAACGGTTCCGGTGACGGAGACACGGCCGAGCCGGTCGCCCCCGACGCCCGCCACCACGCTGAGCAGCGTCGTCTTGCCGCCGCCGGACGGTCCGAAAACGCCGAGGACTTCGCCCGGACGCGCGGTGAAGGAGACGTCGGACACGATGTGCGTGCGGGAAGCTGAAAAGAGAGGGGAGGCGTGTCGTTTTATGAGACGTGACACTTCCCGGCAGAAAACAAACGAGGACTTCGCCCAACCGCGCGGTGAAGGAAACGTCGCACAAAATGTGCGTGCGGGAAGCTGGCGGGACGAGAGACTCTCACGAAGAGAACGTCCAGAGCAAGAGACGACCAAAACAGGCTGATTTTTAGGAACCTACGATGCGCCTCTATGTCCTTAAGGGTCGGTGCGGCTGTATAGAGACAGTATTTTCCAAACGGGCGGTGAAGGGGACGTCGGACACGATGTGCGCTGGGGAGCTGAAAAGAGAAGGGGGGCGTGTCCTCCAAAAGATGTGAGATTTGCGGGCAGAGAACAAACGAGGACCCCGCCTGGACGCGCGGTGAATGAGAAGTCGGACACTATTTGCAACCGGGAAGCTGGAAAGAGGCGAGGCGTATTGTTAAGACTTGACACTAAATCAAGAAGGATTTTGCTGGCCGAAACGCCCAGAGCCTCGCCGGGACGCGCGGTGAAGGATAACCCTCGGAGAAAACGTCAGTGCAAAACTCTGGCAAGAGGGAGGCTTGTCCTCTGAAATAGGCGAACCAATGGGTAAGCTGCCGGTGCAGACTTCAATATTTCACCGCGGCTTGGTTTGGTCCTGCGCTCCCGTCAACATTGCAGAGTGGGATCAGAACAGGCGAATATGAAGGTGAGAGGCTCAAAACGCGCGTTTTGCGCAATCGCTTCGGCGAAAGAGGCAAGCTTATGACAGCGTGTGCCAAACTTCTCCGAACCATTTGAGGGTGCTGAATGCTAGTATGACCCGCGGCGATTGTCTTGTTTCGTTGGTTGCGTCTTTCTCTCCCTCTCGCCTAAGAGGGAGCGCTTCGACCTTGTAAGGACCCGAGTCAGAGAGAAATTGGCTTTCTTACGCAGTGTTGCCAAAGAGGATAGAACTGCCGCCGGCAGTTCGTTCTTTGTCACGGAACAGCCTAGACCACTTGGATACACGATTCAGATTGGACAGGACGAGCACCCAAAGCGGTTGCGATCAAGTTTGCTCCTCTCCGCGCCCACTTCTTCCAAGGGAAGGACACTGATCTGCGGAGCCCAAAACAACCCACCTTCATTTACACTCCTACTGCGCCACCACTTCCCCGGGGACAGCAACACCGACAGCTTCCGCACCTCCAGCGTCCGCCCGGGGCTCTTCCCCGACCCCTCGTTCCTTGCCCCATTCAAACCAACCACGTCATTCACCCCCGCTTCGTTACCCCCTGCAAGTCTCCTTGCCCCGACATCCACAATCCCTCCACTCATCCCCCCCCTATCCGAGTCAATTCCGCTCCCCTCTCCGCTGGAAACTCTCCCGTTTTCCGCCCCCCCCCGTCCAGAGCCCGTCTTATTTCCTTCCAGAAACTTTTCATTTTCCGCCGCCCACGTAACGTATTCCGCTTCCCCCCGCACCCGCTGGCGCTTTCTGGCATACCACGCCAGAGCAAGTAGAGCGGCGGACCCGAGCACCGAGACTGGGACTGCGACTCCGATCGCAGTGGTGTCCACGTGGCGGCCTGGGGAGGCCTGGAAAGTGACGTTGCCAGAGTTTGTGCATTCGCCGATCTGCAGGGGGGAAAGAAAAGGAAAACAGCTTAGGCGCACAGGCTGTGAGCCTTAAGAAGCCGGAAAGGCCGCTGTTTGCTTCTCTCAGGAGATAGAAGCGTTTGCTGCGTGCAGGCAGAGTTTTCCGATGACAAAACCGTAGCTTTTTAAATTGACGTTTTAACGCTTCATGTACGAAAGGGCTGGCAAACTGGGTCCGTCGTTGTCCTCAAGGAATTGAACGGATTTCGTCCTGAACGTCGAAGCTCGGAGCACTACTCGGATGTGATTGCAGGCGGACCCAATAGATATGTTCAACGTCCTATGTGGTGAGCTTTGTCGTACCGTTCTGTTCAAGCGCATCTTGCTTTCGGTCGAAGCGAAATAATCAAAACCCTGCCTTACTGCACCCAGTAGCCGTGATCCCAGCACCCCTCACAAAAAAACCCCGTCTCGGCAGCTGTTCAATAACGCGGGCACTGAAATCCTCCAACTAGAGTAGGCACTTACGCTGCACGTCGCTTCCAGGTCGCTTGGCAGGGCGTCCAAAGAGAGGGTGCATTTGCCAGAGCCATCATCTGCGCATGCCATCTTAGAGCTGCCCGTAAGGGTGTTGATGGTTTGGGACAGGTCCGTCGGGCAGGGGACCTGAAACCAGGTCAGAAAAGCGGGTTAAGCCGCTGGATTTGTACAATGTAGGTTCAAGTATGCGGGTTGTTAGAAAGTCGGTGGCTTGTAAGCGTGTTGATTTGGCTGGGAGAGGTCCGTCGAGCAGGGGACCTTAAAACGGGTTTAGGAAATCGGGTTAAGACGCTGGATTTGTGCAATATAGGATCAAGTATCCGGGTCGTCAGAGAGTCGGTGGGTCGTAAACGTGTTGGTGATCTGAGAGAGGTCCGTTGGGCAGTAGACCTTGAACCAGGTTAGATTTTGGGTTAAGCCGCTGGTTTAGTGCAATAGCCGCTGGTTTAGACCAATTATGCGAGTTGTCAGAATGTCGGTGGGTTGTGACGTGTTGATGATCTGAGAGAGGTTTGTCGGGCAGGGGACCTGAAACTCGCTTAGAAGATTGATTTAAGTCGCTGGATTTGTGCAATCCTAGAGCAAGTATGCGGCAGACAATCGGTGGGTCGTAGGCGTGTTCATCTGGCTGGGAGTCGGGCAGGGGACCTGAAACCAATTTAGACAATTGGGCTAAGACATTGGACAAGATAGGGCTGAGCAAGCAGGTTCCTCGGAAAGTCGGTAAGTCGTCTTGTAGAAGCGGGGGACAGTCGAGTGAGCCGAACTCTATCAAGCACACGAGAGAAGCAAGCTTTCTGCCTAATTATATCTGGTCAAGCTCCTCCGCAATCTCAAAGTTTTGGAGTCCTGGCCCCAGAGTACCTTTCAAGGAAGCAGCTTCCCCTCGCATATCCATCCAGTCTCCTGTCAGAAATTGCCAGCTAGGAGCATCTTCGAACTGAGTCGAAAACAGGTGTGCTGACGTCACCTTCTGGCCCCCGCAGCCGCAGCTGAGCTCAGCGCAGGTGAACGCCCCCTGCCCGTCCCGAAAAGCGCACCCCGTCGCGGTACAGTTCACGGGCGCCGTCTGCCCGTCCGAGAGCACGTCCAGCAGGATCGTGCACGCGCGCTTGCTGACGTCACACCGGATCGCCATGTCGCTCTGGATGTACGCGGCCAGGCTGGATGACGTCAGCTTGCACCCGTAGGCCTTGTAGGTGGTGTTGGCGCCGTAGAGGGGGCCCGTGTCGCAGCGCGCGCCCAGGTTGAGTGCCTTTGGGAAAAAAGAAGTAAATTGGAAGAGACGACTGTGGGTTTGGAGGAATCATTCACCTTTGGGAATCATGCTGCAGGCACCCGATTCCAGGGTTGCAGCAGTGACTGCTAGCATACGGGCAATGAATTCACCGTCAAAACCGAATCTCGGAGTTTCAAAATTGGTCCTCAAAGATAAAAAAATTTTGTAGGACGGAGGGTTCGATGGTGCAGTCCTCCCACGGACCCCGCATAGAGTGGAAAACGCCTTTGAAGCAATGAGGTGACACTTCAAAACGACATCGTTTGCGGCTTTCGTAGATCCTAACCAAAAAAATCACCTAAACTAGGACGGGTTGCCAGCTGACATTCTGGACAAGCAAAGCCAACGGAGTAGAAGTGCCCAATCTAGTCAGAAAATTCTCCTGAAACGCACACTTCAAACGGAAAGACGAATCCAGAACTAGAATGTTAACTTTTTCATACGCCGGACGCACCTGGCACACATCATCCGCAGTGCACACGGAGCAGTCGACGCCCGTCCAGCCCGCCAGGCAGTCGCACGTGCACGCCCCGGTCGCTGTTGCCGTGGCCGGTACGCCGGCGCACTGCTTGTCCAGATCGACTGGGCACGTGCCTGGGGAGGAACCGGGGGAAGGGCTCGGGGGAGGGATTTGTGCGGAGGCGGACGGCGGGTTGACGGACACGAGCGAAGTGAGCGTCCGAAATGTCCGTTGGCAGCCCCTGTACAGAAAAGTGTGGGTATTGTCAGTCAGATTGAGTGCAGGGTGCCGCAAGAGAAATTGGGGTTCGGGCTCGGGGAGGAAATTTTGTGGAAGCGGACGGCGGATCAACGAATACGAAGGAAGTGGGCGTTCGAGCGGTCCGCTGACAACCCCTGTACGGAAAAGTGTAACTCTTTCAAGTCGAACTGAGGGAAGGCACGTGTCTGGTTGACAGCCAAACCGAGAACTAAACAGGTCAAAGAATCAGCGAGAAGGAGCGGAGCTTAATTACTGGAAAGGCAGGCTTTGTCTTTTGCTTCTCAAGAGAGAAGGGGAACGGTCGGAAGCGCTCTTGCCAAACAGCTCGACAGAAAAGTCTCTAGAAAGTCGTCATGAATTCCGACATATGCATCGACGTTACGCGTTGTCATCCAACGCTGGAATGAGACGCTTCTGAATGCAAACCTATGACGGTTAACAACGATCGCTGCGAATCTAGCAACATGGACACCGGAGGCAGCGCCTACGGGCCTTCTTGAAGGAACCAAGATATGAGTCGAGAAGCAATCAGAGCCCTTTCTCAAAAAGGTTCCGCAACCAAAAACACGTCAGGTATTGAAGCGTGCAAATTCCCGGCCCTCACCTTACAATTCGGACGGGCGCGCGGTTGTTTAAAGCGTCCGGCTGCGGCGGCAGAGCACACGTGGCAACCGACGAGCTGACTCGCGTCAGCGGCCCACAGCTCGCGTTACCGACGAACGCACTCAGATTCGACGACGAAAGCGCCGCGAGATCCCCGAGGTTTGGCCCGACCAGTTGGAGGTGCACGTTTCCGTCGTTTGTGACCCCGGTTGCGGTGCTCGGGTATGCTGACGTGGCAGATTCCAGGGAGAGCGGGGCGAGGAATGTCTGGGAGCAGTCGGCGCCGGCGAAGCCGCAGTCGCAGGCGCAGGTGGGCGTGGAGCCTGCGTGTGTGGACACGTGTCAAATTCTAGAGAGTCCAGAGGAAAGACGAGCGGACATTCTCCAGGTGGTTCGTCGCGCAAGATGAGCTACATAAGATTAGACACGTCTGTCCAAGCTTTTATCCCCACGCAACAGAGGCAGTGTTTGCGATCATCTGTACGGTGGACGGACCGGAGAGTTTTGACGTCACGCTGAACGGCATCAGGCCGAAGATGGCTCTCAGGCAGGGATCTGGAAGAGAATTGAAAACCATATGGAAAAAGTGCTTCAGTTTTTAATGAAGTGGAGCGGGCTATCCCAATACATGCAGCTATCGTTTCAACGTGTCGAGCGCCAGTATTGCCGCAATGATTGTTGACGTTTCTCGACTAGAGCCGGTCCAGACGAAAGCCACGAAGCATGGGCTTAAGGGTTTGCGTCATATGATCGCAAACAACGGACACGACAGGCCTTTTGAATACCAGACTTCTCGAAAACCAATAAAATCCTTGGCCAGGCCAAAGCGGACCATCAGCGAATCCATCACCAAACCTCTCAAGAGTCGCTAATAAGTCGATGCGACTTACCTTGCAATTCGCAACGACCGCGGAAGCTACAGCTGGCTGGACAACCTAGCACCGCCGTGGCCACAACGGACCCCTGGAAAGTGTACGAGGCCTGCTGGTTTTTGGCGCCTCCGAGTAACATTAGGGGCCACTCAAACGTCGGAAAGCTGAGAGTCGCGACCTGGGAAATGGGAGGCAGAATTTTAGCAGGAAGTCAAGCGGGAGAAGCACTTGCTTGACATTGGTTTCTATCTCTCGAAAGGAATCGTAGAGTGGCGTGAGATTCCATAATGATCGACGCCGGCGGAAGGAAAGCGAACACTGGGAAAGGGGCCCTAATGGATACAAGAATGGGCGCAAGAGGCAAACATGAGGCAAAATGTGGCTAGGATAAGAGAAAGGCCGCTTGAAAGACAGGTTATGAAGTAAACCACTATGATGAGGCCGATGCACTTCTGCGAACTTCCAACGGGTTCATATGAAGCTCGCCCAATCGTCGCTGAGTGGTCCCGGCGGTCTTGAAACAGAACATTCTTGCAAGAGGGTCGCAACTCACCTGACCAGAGACGGAAAAAGCCCCCGCCGACGTGACGGTCGACGGCGTATTGCTCAAGTCAAAGAACGTGAAGGCGGGTCCAAGAATACTTTTCTCTTCAGACATTCCCGAGACGACCGTCCAGTTTTGTGGCACGCTGAAAGCCCCCGTTTGCGCATCGGGAGCTAGTTCCGAGCTTCCGACAGCGACCTCAAGGTCGTAAAACGTCACATTTGCGAAGATGATGCCGCCGGCCCCCGCTCGTGTGTATAGGACCGGGGGGGACATGGAAATGAGAGAGGGGGGGTAGGATGCGGAGAGGTTCAGGGTTTGGGGGCCGATGAACGTAGCTCCGGAGAAAGAGGAGAGAGTCAGTTGGGTGGGGCAGGCTGCGGTTCCTGATAGTTTGAGGTACAAGCTTCCTGCAGGGAGAAGGCAAGAAGTGAGTGAGCAATTGAGGACAGATGTACCATACAAGAATGGTAAGAGGTGCAACTTGAGATGGAGTTTTAACACAGCCAAAGATGTTTGTTGGTCTTGATTTGAAAGCTTACTGACTAGCTAAGAAGCGGGATATGAGGGCTTTTGTCAGACAAATGCTGGGCCAATGCTCAAAGCCTTCAATTTCGTCATACAGGCGCTTTGTGAAGTGGAGCGCACTGGCATCAGACAACAGCCGAGGAGCTGTGACCTTGCTTTTAGGGACTGCTTTGCCAAGTTGTCAAGATGTTCATTGCTCCCATGCTTAGTGTCCTTTGCAGAGCCTACAAATCCAAATGTGATGGGGAGCGCACAGCTCAGCAACCACAAAACGATTAGAATTTCGGAACTGAACTACCCTTTTATGATCATACCTGAAAAGCGAGACACTGAGACCTTCGGTGCCAGCAACTAAACAAGGGCCTAAATGACGTTTCAGAGACTAAGCTTCTACACCTGTAAGTCATCTTAGACTCTCGAGCTGTGGCACATAGAAAGTCCAGGTTCAATGGGACTCCCCCTTCTTCCTGAGCCCCAACGTTAGATTAGACTAAAGGATCAGTCTCGAACTTTCCAAGTCACAGTTAGAAAGCCAGCCCCTCCGCATTCTGAACCTTGGATTAGAACATGACAGGTCACCATAACAATGTGGTGGACTGGACCGGCTAGCAATTCAGTGAGCTTCCCTAAAGTAAGACCCAGTGATTCTTGGACCGTCAGCTATGTGGCACTCCGCCATTCGGTGGGGCACTCACCTGCAAGCTGCAGATTGCTAGTTGCGCGGATTGGCACCGGGAGCGGTTTGATGGACTGGCCATTGAGCGTGAGGACTGAACTGTTTGATTGAATGTCAAACCTTAAGAAGCAGCCCTGCAGCTGGCCCTTGCCTACTGAGAGCTGAGACAGGACGACCAGAATTGAAAACCACCTGACAAGGTGTTTGAAGGATGCAGCCATTTTCTGCTGGTCAAAGTGTGTCCTTTCTGCTATTGAATGTCTGTTCCAGGTTTATTCGCAGTCAGGTGTCTGGAAAGTAGGCCCCAATCTGGACACCGATCTGAACTTTCACTGTCGGCTCAATTGAGGCTCGTTCAAGGAGCGCCAGCGCTGCACAAGGGGGAATCATCTACTCCGCCAATTGTGCACAAAATGCTGCTCAGGGATCAGACCTCCAAGGCTTCCACTAAAGTGATACGAGGAAAGAAAAGCAATTCAGGCGTCTATGAAGAAGACACAGATTCACATGAGCTAGCGCCCCTGCACGGGCCTGCTAGGAATGTAGGATTGTGGCCATGTGTGGATCTATCATCTTCGGCTCTGACTTGGCAGCTACGGCACGCGGCCGCTCTTCCGGGCCCGGCCGCGCGGCCGACTGACCGACGCGCGGCCGGCGCGCAGCAGTAGGTACGTGGCCAGCCCGTACTAGTAGGTGCTATGGAGCCGGAGACCCATCTAGTACAAGTCTTGCGAAGGGAAAACGAAGGTGTTTGTTCAAATCTGTTTGCTGCTGTGATCTATTAGGCTGTTAGCTTGCGCCAGACTTCGGCCTGGCGCGCCAGGCTTTTCTAATATGCAGCTAGTAGTATGCTAGTGGGATGCTAGTATGCTAGTATGCAGCTAGTATGCAAGAGCGCGGAAGCGCCGCTCATGACGTCACAACATTCCATCATTCACAATCCCTTCACGATGATTCTGCATAACAAAATTCAGGATCTAGCCTGAGCAGGACGTGAGCAGTACTTCTGCAAGCGCCTCTGAGCAATCAGAAAAGCGTGGACGTTTTATATCCCAGCAAGCTGCGCTCAGGACAATCAGCAAAGCACGGTGGTGAGAACCAAAACGAAACAACTGAGACGGCGCCCCCATGTATCACACGAAGCCTATACTGAAGTATTCGGACTCGGTCGAGGGGGAGACCTACCGGCGCGACCCTGGCGCGACATGTACAACCTCGAGGAGCATCTGGACTCCCTACGAGCGCCTCACGAGAGGAAGATTCGACTCCTAGAGCTCGAAATTCTCTTTCTCAAAGACCTCACAAGGAATGGCTTCGCCCCAAGGACGTATGCCGACTTCCAACGACTGTGCGCGTGTGAGGACGAGATCTATCGGCTGGAGACAGACGTTCTTCCCTTTTGCGGGCTCAAGTACCTTGTTCCTAAGGTCTTGAGCGGAGAGTCTTTGGACATGTCCGCCGCTCGTAGACACGTATCTCGGCTGCCAGTGCGGTCCGAGTTCTTAAATTCTAAGTACGTGCTGGGGTTTCTGAAGGAATATTTTGCAGCTGAATGCGCCCCTTACAGCCCAATCTACCCCAGCTTTAAGGAGGTGGTGCTTTCGATGCGTGACTTTCTGGGGCCGGTGATTGAGAATCTTAATCATTGGAGATATGATCGTCCTGAAAGAGGTGAAGCTGAATTCAGGGAGTGTATGAGAATCCTCAGAAAGAGGTTCCTGGTCTTGAAACTGAGGAGAGAGCGTTGTGCGAAGATCATACAGAGAGCGACTAGGAGGTGGCTTGCGCACCGCGGGGCGGCCGCGATGGTCATACAGAGACGATACCTGGAACACCGATACAGGCCCGGGGGAACATTAGCAGATCAAACTGTCAAGCGTCTGCATGACTCGGCCACTGAGGGGTTTACCGGCGGTGGAAGCCACGAAGTCTGAGAAGCAGGTTGTGTGGGGGTCAGGTCATCCGAAGATAGAACCAGTAAATGTAGGCAGGAGAGTGGAGTTGCTAGCAAGTGCTTTTGTGCAGCTCTAAACGAACGACAGTCCGACGTGCTACGTTGTTAGCAGGAAAAATTGATTTTCAGTGAAGAGGTTTAAACGGACAGGTCCATAAACTCTTCGGGTGCTTTCGTCCTGTCCAATTGAGCTGCGAAAGATTAGACGTTTGAAGAAGAGCCTTACAGTAGAGCCGTGCCATCAGAGCCGTGCCAGTCGCCTGGCAAAATATAGAATACCGGCACGAATAATCACGTGAACACACTACGTGAATGAAATGTATGCAAAGCAGAATCTGCCTTCATTTGCGGTTCAAGTTGGCATCTAGCGGTGTGCCACTGGCTTTGGAAACTTCATCGAAGAGCGTCGTCCTAACGAGCCACCCGTTTTGGGACCCATTTGGGACCTTAGTATTCAGGCCGCGCTTCTGATCGGAATCGAGCGAAGTACTTTCTTATTTGAAAGCTCTGGGCGGTGAAATTGGACAGAGTCGTACGATTCTCTGGCTCATTTGCTTCTGTTCGATTCAAAGAAACTTTCGAGCAAGTCAACCGACAGCCTTTCAAGCGTCCACTATTCAGCAGGACTCTGCAGGCGACCAACCGACGTGAGCAAAAGTTCGATTTGTTTCTGTCTGATCATGTTATGCCGCGTGCTACGTCATCACACAAGCCGTCTTGCCATGATCAAAACAATATCTGCTCTCATGAAGCAGTGAAACCACCTGCTCTAAAACTCCATCCTTCGCAAACATGACCAGTTCTGCCAACTCATAACTCTGGTCATGTCCTCACATGACAGGACCCAAAGTACGAATATTGCTACCAGTTTACAAACTATCATTCAATGAACACAAGTTGTCTGGCGTTTGCTGCCCTGGGATTCCCCAAACACCTCTCTTGCAACCAGACAGTAACCAGGGTTGGGACTATGTGCCAGCGCGTAATGTGGGAAACTCGTGCAGGATCAAGCTCCGCTTCGATATCACTTCTGTAAGGAATAAAGCAGAACGGCGCCACACAATCCGTCGGTCGACAGTGTAATTCACACGCCGCTTGTAGGCTTGCTTCCGAAAATCTTCCCTGTCAAAATGGCGCGGCAGATGAACTCGCTGGGCTTCGGGGCATCCTTGAAAGGACCGTCGAGCTCGAGGGTCCGCCGCCCACCCAAGCAGTTTCTTAGCGTCTTGTTAACTTACCTTCTTGTCTGTGAGCTCGTGTTCGATCCTTCAAGTAGTACTATGCCTCACGATTTTCGCAAGAATGCTATACAGGCTTCGACAGCCATGCCGGGGAACGAGTTGGCGCTGCAATCCAGGGGCGAGAATGGCCTTCGCCGGTCGTTCAGGAGTTTACCGCCAGCTTCACGCCGTTGACGCAGAAGCCGGTGTGCTCTCATCGATCAATACAGAAGCCTTTTCAAAGGGGATCAATGAGAGCTCTGCCACGGGTATGCAGGAAGCTTACTCCTGAGTTTGACGTGACCTCTATGGAGCGTTCAAGGCTCGCTTCCGAGTCCAAGAGCTCGAGCGGTATTCCATGAATATAGGGGCGCCGGGGGGCCCACGAGGCAACCAGGGCTGACTAGAGAGGTGCAAGGAACATCCAAACAGGCCAGAATGGCGCTGATTTGATGCCAGTAACACATATGTTTGCCACAGTCCTGCGGCCCCGCGTGCGCGTGCGTGCACAGTTGGTGGCGCCGTTGTGCCAGCCCACTCGACTTCAATGGCGGCAGCTCCACCGAAGCCTTTCTCAATACTTGAGGTTTACATCGTCAAAGCGGTTTGGTGATCTTAAGAACGTTACAAATCTCTCGTTTTGGCCAATTCGTGCAGTATTGAATTAATCTGGCTGTTGGCAACGACTTTGCAACCGTGATAAAACGGGTGGATTTGAGAAACCGGTGGGACTCCCGTGAAATTGAGGAAGTTTCCATGGAGCCGTGGTCTCGACTTGGTGATCCAGGGCGCCCATTGGCCCGATATAAGCGACAGTCGTGCCAGAGTCACTGGTGGTGTTTTATCGTTCCTGAGCTCTCCTGCAATCCGCTACAAGATTTTTCATGGAGCGGATTTTGATCTTTTCAACTTCGCGCAACCTCGACCGTCCGATCGCCTGAGCGTCAGATCGAGCACGGCTATGCAGTACCACTACGGCGAGCCAAACATGTGAATGTGGCGATGTCCACCTCAGGAAGAAATTACACCCCTTGCATGCCAGCCCTAGATAGTAGAGGGGAATGCTGGTCCAGGACTAGGACTCGGAGATATGAGCGCTGCTTCCAGAGAAGAAGCAGCCAACTAACCATCTGATGAACGGCATAAAATGGAGCAACCACAAAGCGCCACGTGTCCCCCCGTTTCGGCAAGACCCGGTACCGCGCCGCGCCAAGGTCGCCCCCGAAAGCCTGACTCGATCTTAAGGTGATCGAGTCAGTCTCAGATGGTTTATCACTAACATAGAGCAGTTGATTTGGCGTCCGAAATGAAGCATTGGCGTGC